GGCAGGACTGGAGGGCAGGATTTAGAGAGGGAACAAGGCTTGGAACCCAGAGAGGGGGCAGGTATGGAGCTCAGAACGGGAGCGAGAGGCAGGCCCAGAACAAGCAGAGCCTGGGGCTGGGGGTGGGGAGAATGAGGTAGAGACTGGGGCCAGGACCACCGAGGCAGAGCCTGGAGAGAGAATAGAGGTCAAGGTCGTGGTCAGGGCCAGATGGTGCAGCTGGGGCCAGATGGTGCGCTCGCGCCAGCGTGCGGGTGGGGCGGTCCAGGTTTCTTATCCCTTTAGCCTGGCTCATTCCTGGATCTCCTCCTGTCTTTGCGTAGCTTGCCACTGCTGAAAGTTTCCACAAGCTACCTCTGGGCTGCGGGTGCCTCCCGATCACATCCAGGCCACAGCCCGCTGTCCGCAGTGTCCACCGTCAGGAGCCTCTTGGGCAGGACTGACCTGCTTGTGGCTGGTGACACACACGTTGTCTTAGGTTTCTCATGTCCATCTTGTCATTAATGAACACCCACGGGATATCATTTGAGGCCAGCTATTGCCCTCCAAGCTCTTACTCAGTACTCTACTCAAGGCTGAAGCGCGCACCGAATTTTCCTGATGGTTGCCAAATGGGGATGATTTTCCAACTCTGTCCCTCGGCCTACGTTTACCAGGTACTTCCCACGGGAAGAAAGAGTCTCTCCATCTTCCTTGTGCATTTATTTATGTATGTGTTTGTGTGGGCGTGCGCTCCCTGGGTCCCTGTTAAACCAAAGTGTTGCAGTTCTTTATTGTGAGCGTCTGCTTTCCTGTGCCAGTAACCCAGATAAACCCAGCGCGAGCATCTGGGAAGCAGCTCCGGGGCTGCTCACCAGTCCCTATGGCATCACCTCCTTCCTGTCTGGCACCAGAAGCTGCGGGCTCCCTTTACACTCCCAGGTCCCCGCCCTGGATTCACTCATTTCTCCAAGGGAATGGAGGAACTTGGACACTGTTTATTTATCTATTTATTATTTATTTTAAAGAGAAAAATCAAGAAGCAAACAAACAGACAAGTAAAATGACCACAGCACAACAACTACATACAGTAGCAATCTAGGGTCTCAGACAAAGATGACAGGAACTTAACAGTGCCTTCAGATAGACAGACATACTGAGGTCTGCTTTCCTCTGTGCCTCTGTGGACACAAACCATGAGCTCACACTGACAGCTCTAACCTCAGTGCCACTCTGGGGTTCATGCGACCCCTCCCCGGTGTCTGTAATTCTTATTCCAACAGTGAGAAGGCCAGCTCCACTTAGCCACGGTACGTTGCTATCTCTGTTCAAACTGAAAGCAGTTTCAGAATTGCTATCTCTGTGAAAAAGTAAGGTGCCCTGGGATTTAATATTTGCATAGAGTTCTTATTGTCATTTATGGCATATATTCAGGCACCCTATGTGATCTCTGTGTTTTTTATAATAAACTCCATGTGCTTTCCCAGCTTCCTTGGAAAGTGAGGCACAAAATGCAAAAGAGAAAAGCACAGTCTCTTTCCAGACACCAGATGCTCTGCTCTGATGTCTGTAATGGATCATCCAAACATTGTGCGCGAGAAGGCACCGGCAGCCAACTTCCGAGGCTCTCTGTTTTGTTCTCTGTCTGACTGATGCTTTCCTCTCTCCGCACAAGAGCACCAACCTCTGAGGCCAAAGACATAGTAGTGGCCAAGCACTCATTACCGTACTTGGCTGGAAAAGTGCACAGTGTTGCTTTTTGAGGTTCCCTGGGGACGGTTTTGGGTGACAGCCACTGCCGTTATTCAAAACCAAGTGAGCGATGACTCCGGGATCTCTTCAGGGAGCAGATTGGGAGGTACCCTGCTGTCCTGCCTGTGTCTGGGACTGTAGCCAGGTCTCTTGGGTACTGGGTCCTTGACACAAGCTCACTCACGGGGACTCTGTGACACAGAGTTGTCACTGCAGGTCTCCCTCCAGGGAGGAGACTCCAAGAGACAAAGAATTCCAGATAAGTGGGGCCCAGAGGGCAACACCAAGGCTTGCCTGAGATTTGTCCCACTAGACGATTCAGGTCACACCCTGCTTTCAGGTCAGGCTGTGATACTCTCCAGGGAAAGTGGACAGCCTGTGAGGCTCTGCCCTCCTGGTTTCTCTAAGATCTGAGTCAGGATTCTCACGCTGAGCAGTTTCTTTTCCCAGTTCCTACCGACCTCCACTACCACCCCAGAGACATGCACACGCACAGACACACCTTCATACCACGTGTGTCACACACACGCTGCCAAACACACTGTGCACATGCCACACATCCAACACACCACACACTCGTACACATCTCACACATCACACCAATAATACACATACACGCCTATCAGACATCAGCACATACATACGCCCAGACACACACACATCAGGCACACACTGTGCCCTGTAATCCACTTCGTTGGGAGCACTTAGCACAGCACTCTGCACAAAAGTATCTTCAACAGATGGTTAGAATTTGGGTTAAGCAAGTTGGTACCATAGACATATATTTCTAAGACATTTCCTTTACAAGTTACCAGAGTTAAGATCATTTAAAACTTGTAGCCACCAAACTTACAAAACTGTTATACAGGTTTAATGCAATTCCAATCAAAATTCCAACAGTATATCTCACAGAATTAGAGAAAGCAAGCCTAAAGTTCATTTGGAACTGAAGAGACCTAGAATAGTAAAGATAATTCTGGGCAACAAAGGCAAGACAGAGGCATCACAATCCCTGACTTGAAATTATGCTATAAAGCTACTGTGCTAAAAGCAGTGTGATAGTGGCAAAAGAAAACCAAAAAACCAGACCCAAAGGTCAATGCAACAGATTAGAAGGTGCGGAAACAACTGCAGACACACTAAGTCACCTTATCTTTGACAAAGGTGCCAAACATTCCCTGGAAGACATATGGCCTCTTTACTAAATGGTGCTGGAAAAACCAGCTTTGCACATGCTAAAGATTATAATTGGACCTATTGTACTTCCCCAAAAAGGCCCCCGAGATGAAAAATGGGGCAAGACCCCTGAGATGAAAAAAGAACGGGGCAAAATGACATCGTTTTAGGAAGAAGCGCTTTTATTTTAGCTGGCCCAGCGACACAGTGCAGATGGACTTTGCAAAGCTGTGCAACTGAGTTAGAGTTTTGACTGATTTTTATAGTTCATTTATGATTAGCTCATTGAGCATTAAGTACATAGTGATGAGAAACAGAAACAAGGTGGGCCCTTTATTCTCCTTTGCTTGAGGTCAGAGGCATTTCACAGTGGGTAGTTAGCCGATTCATAGTCCTTGGTCTGCCAATTCCAGGAATATTTGTCTCTCATAAAGGGAACAATGGTTGACACAAAGTCATTTGTCTCTTGTAAGGGGGAACAAAGGTTGACAGCACACAGGTTACTTGGAGGGGGGCGACACATACAGAACAGCATAACGAGGCGGTCAGTTAATCTATAACTATGTGGTTGGTGCTTGGTTACTAGGGTAACGAGCTTAGTACAGAATGAGAATACTGCTAATAACTTTTTAACTAGCTATTTTTGCTAATTATCTTTTAATCAATTACTTTAATTTTTTAGCATCTTAGTGTAACACCTATATCTTTAATCATGCACTAAACTAAATTTGAAATGGATCAAAGATTTAAATATTAGAACAGAAACATTAAGTCTGCTAGAAGACAGAATAGGTAAAACTCTTGAAGACACTGGTGTAGGCAAAGACTTTATGAATAAAACCATGATCACACAGGAATTATCACAAACAATCAACAATTGGAATCTTATTAAAATTTTTTACACAGCAAGAGAGACCACCAGCAGAGTGAAGAGACAACTCACAATGTGAGGGAAAACTGTTTGCCAGCTGTTTCTCAAAGGATTACTATCGAGAACATATAAAGAATTTTAAAAAACCAAACCTCCAAATTTAAAGGCTCAATCCAAAAATGGGCAAATAAATACAGGAGAAATGTTCAGTATCACTGGTCATTCAAGAGATGCAGGTTAAAAAACACTCACCCTGGAAATTCCATCTCATTCTGGAAAGAATGGTTATCATCAAGAAATCAGCCACTAACAAACGCTGGAGGGGCTGTTGGTGGGAGTGCAGACTGATGCAACCATGTGAAAATCAGTGTGGAGATTCCTCAAAAAAACTAGAATAGGAGGTTCCATTTGACCTAGCTATTCCCCTTCTGGATCTCTTCTCAGAATGAAAAACATACTACCACAGTGATATATATGTGCACCCATTTTATAGCTGTACAATTTGTAATACATAGATCTTGGAAACAGCCCCAATGCCCATGGCCTGAGGAATGGATAAAAAAGATGTGGTCTTTTTATACAATGGAGTACTACTCGGCCACAAAGAAAGATAAACTGAAGACTTTTATAGGTAAATGGATGCAATTCAAGACTATACTTATAAGTGAAATAAACCATACTCACGTGTGTAAACATGGTATTGTCTCCCTAGTGTGAGAAGGCAAAAGTGTAAGTAAGATCCAAAATATACAATAGATGTTGTAAAGTAGGAAAAAACCGTTCAAAAGGAAACAAAAACTGGGATGGGGGAAATGAGAAAAGAAGGAAGGGAAAATCAAAAAAATTATATATATATATATATATATATATATATATGATAGTTAAGATAGTTATACTACTGATTTCTCTTAGATCATTGAAAAGAAAGATTTGTACTAATATTGTCTGGACAATTAAATGCCAATATCTTGTACTCTGCGTAGCTAATTTAAGACAACAGTATGTGATGTATCAACCACTCTTGCTCTCTGATTATCTTGTTTTGAAATTTCGTGGTTTTTTCTCCTTAAAATAAAAAATTTTTAAAATCTTTTAGCCACCATGATTGGAGGTGACTATTCAGACGTCATGAAAAGACTTCTTGCTAATGGTTAATTATAAAATGAATTCTGGTGGTGGCTTGGGAAGGTATCAATCTAATTTCTATTCTTTTCTTTTCTAGGGCCAGAAATCTTGGATAGAGAAAACCTTTTGCAAACGGGAATGTATCTTTGTAATCCCCAGCATGAAAGATCCTAACAGGTAAATTGAAAGCACTAATGGATGCATTATCTAAGCCTGAGTTTGTTCCCCAGTTGCTTGGCAACTAATTTTTGTTTGTGGGAGAGGGGAAGAGTCCGGGAGGATGCCAGAACCATGGTCATTAACAAGGAATCTCAGGACAAGCAGACTGCTCTTTAAAATGCAGACAGCCTTGAAAAACAGTTTCTACCTGCCACTCACCCTGATGGAAACTCTTGGAACCCCAGAGGCCCATAGTCTTCTTAATACTCATGAGATTAGAGACCTGAGAACTTCTGATAAATTTTCAGGATGTCTTCTGGGCCTGTTCAGATGAGTTTCATAATTTAGATGAACAGGGATTTCCATCACAAGAAAGATCTGCGTGGTTATGTGAAGCAGACACAACTTTATTTAAGAGTTCAACTTGTACACAAAATGTCAAACAGTTCCATTCACCTCTATGAAACGATATCCCTTATAAGCTGGACAGAAGGCCTTCTAGAGTGTACAAGCAATCAGACATGAATTGAGCTAAGACTTCTCATCTCTGAGGGGAACAGCTATGCGACTGAGTTCGAGAAGTGGGGAATTATTTTTCCATCCATTTGCCAAAAATCCATGCAGGTAGGATCACTGATATAGAAATGCATGAACTCTTAGATACCATGTGGCTCAAATTTGTTTGACCTATATAAGTCCACACACCACTCTGCAGGGTCCTTCCCTTGCTTACACACCAGTACTCAACCCCAAGACAACAAATACCATTACGGGACAATGCCACTGTTCACAGAAGTCTTGCCTGCATTGTATCTAAATCCCTCCTTGTTTCAATGGCTCCCAGACCAACTGCCTCCCCAGCAGTCCTCCTTAGTATGGCAGCACTGCAGTCCTCCACAGAGAGACATGGCCAGGCAGCAGAGAGGAAGAAGGGCTCCAGAGGCTCACACAGTCCTCCTCTGGGAGCTGGGATTTAAAAGAACAACATTTAAACCCCTTGGAACTGATCTCAAAGGCAAATATCAGATGAAAAAATTACCTATTCAAGAAAATGTTCTAAAGTTCAGTAAAAACAGCTAGAGTTTGTGGATTGTAAATGAACAGAGCTTCCTTTCTATCAGCTTACCCGGGGAAGACAGCATCCCACACTGTTGCAGCCAAAAACACTCTACTCTCAGATCCTAGTGAGAAGGCTTTATCTAGGGAGAAGCAGCACTCCGGCCTCTCTCATCATGTCCCCAGCTACCTGCTGCGAAGGCTGAGTCCCCGATGAGTGCACTGAAGAGGCAGAAGCTCCGGTCTTCCATCCAGACCCAGCTATACAAGCAGCAGCTATAGAAGTGGGAGTAGTTGTACCGGTTTCAAATAAAATAGGCTTTAAGACCAGAAACATGTTACCAGAGACAAAGAGGGATATTCCACAGTGATTAAAATGGTCCCTCCATCAGGAAGTTACAACAATTATAAACCTATACGCATCTAATAACAGAACACCAAAATGCACAAAGAAAAACTGATAGAAATAAAAGGAAAACTAGAAAATTCAACAGTAATATCCAGAGACTTCAATATCCCTTTTTGTACTGTAGATAGAACCTTTGAGAATGACAGACCTGAACAATTCTATAAACCAACTAGATTTACAAACACTATAGAGCATGACACCCAGTAACAGAATGCACATTGTTCTCAACTGCATCTGGGAAGGATCTCTAAGGTATTCTGCAGAAAGATTGTATGGTAGGCCAGACAAGTCCCAATAAATTTAAAAGAATAGGGTACAAAGTATGTTTTTCATATATTCATAATATATTGACAATATTAATCTCATAGTAAGAGATAAAACGTAATGAAATTAGAAATTCCACAATGAAATTAAAAATTAATAGTACTAAAAATTTTAGAAACTTGTAAATATATTAAACTTAAACCATATATCCCTAAATGACCAATGGCCCAAAGAAGAAATTAGAAGGGAAATAATAGAGTATTTCAAGACAGGCGAAAATTAACGCATAGCATGCCAGACCTTAGGGGATGCAGCTAAAGTAATGCTGAGAGAGACAGGACTTAAATAAATAATGTAATCTTTCACTACAGGACACTGGAAAAATAAGATCAAACTAAACAAACAGAAATTTGTGACTAAATGGAAATTAATAAATGAGAACAGAATAAAAAATTTATTTGTTTGATGCATGTGAGAAAATAGGGAATTTTGTAGAGAAACTCAAGGAAGCCAAAAGCTGTTTTTTGGAAAAATTAACATAACTGAAAAGATTTAGATTGGCCAGTGAAAAGAAAAGGAAAGAGTGAACAAACTGGAATAAATATGAAGGAGGGTCCTCACTATCACCTTTATAGAAACAGAATGAGCACAGAGGAAAACTATTATTTGTAAACCAACAAATTCACTTAGATGAAATGGGAAAATTGTTAGAAAGGCACAAGCTATCAAAATTAACAAGAAATACACAATCTAAACAGATATACAACAAGCAAAGACAGGATAAAAATCAAACACTACCCTTTAGTAGTTTTTTTAAAAGCCCAGGTCCAGTTGGCTTCTCTGCTGAATTTTTTTAAATATTTAAAGAAAAATTAATATAAATTCTTCACAAATTTTTCCAAAAATAGTGGAAAAATTTCCAACTTGTTTTATGAAACAAGTACTATGGATATCAAAACTGAAAAAATTACTGAAAGAAATAAAGGTCTATACAACTGGGGGAAATAATATTCATAGGTTGGAAAATGTATCATTATTAAAATGACAATACTTGCAATATGATGTATAGATTCAGTTCAATCCCTATCACTCTCAGCTGAGTTTTTGTAGAAACTAACAATCTGATTCTGAACTTGAAACTGTGTTTTTATTACTTTTCTCACTGCTAGTACAAAATACTTGACATCCAAAGTTAAGGGGGAGAGTTTATTTAGCTCACAGTTTCTAGAGGCCTCAGTCCATACTTGACTGACTCCCAGGTGGCAGGTGGCATGGCAGAAAAAGTGTTCATGGTGGCCAGAAGGTAGCAAAGCAAGCAAAGGAACTTAGCAGCATCTTTCTTCCCCTTTTATCTTATCCAGACTATTTAGGATGGGTAGCATTCACACCCTTAATCATAGTACCCTTGAGCCTAGCATTGCCCCATGAATCAATCTCAGTGTCACACATTTTAGATCCAGCCACCTCTGAAAAAGCCCCACCTATGACTACATGAGGCTTTGGGGAGGGGACATCTAAACTCAAACCACAGAAGTAAGTGGCCCAGAATAAAAAAGCTTTGTGAAGAAGAAAGAAAAAGGAGGAGGAGGAGGACGAGAAGGAGATGGAAGAGGAGGAGGAGAAGAAGAAAAAAAGAAGAGCAACAACAGCAGTATAAAGACCCATGGTCCTCAATCTAGAAAAGAAATACAAAGCTGCAATAACCGAAATACTAGGATTAGTACAATACTAGTACCAGCACTTGATAGATACATGGACCGATGGAATAGAACTGACAGTTCAGAAATAAACACACCTACAGAAAACTAGTTTTTGGCAAGAAGGAAAGATAATTCAATGAGGGAAAGCATGGTCTCTTCAGCAACTGGTGCTGGAACGGTATAGGCCTGTGCCAAAGAACGGATTTGGATCCTTACCTCAGATTAAGGCAAAATGGATCATGAATATAGAGCTAACACTATAAAACTATTAGAAGAAGACATAAGGATAAATCTTTATTATTACTTGGATTTGACAAATGAGTCTGAGATATGACACATAAAACATGACCAATAAAAGAAAAAGCAGATGGGAGCAGGAAACAAGACAGTCTAGGGGAAGAGGTCACAGATGAAGCTCTCAGCCTGCCAAGCCCAGGGGCTCTCCACTGGGACATAGAGACTGAAACACTTGCAGAGGAGAATGTCCCTGATCCAGGGTTCCATGGGACTTGTGAGCCAGAGAAAAACAGGGTGGGCTTCTGGGAAGCTAGAAGCAGTAACCACCAGCTGGGACAGTCTAGGTTCAGACTTTTATCTGAATGCAAGTGCTGTGGATCAGAGAGCAATGTGAAGGACTGGAGCCCACGAGCAGCAGGTGCACAGAGACCACTGGAGCAGCATGGCTGCAGCTGTCCCATTCTTGGCCCCAGACACCACTGATTCCATAGCTCAGAGGGAACATAAATGAGCTATTGCACAACTGAGAGCTGAGAGTACCAAGGAGAGACACAACCAGAAAATAACCTTTCCATAACATGGTGTAGTCAATGTACCAGAAATTCAGGAAAAGAAAAAGATATTGAAAGCTATTAGGAACACTAAATTGCTAATAATGGTGAATCTATAAGGATAACAGCAGATTTCAATAACAGAAGCCTAAAAAAGTTCATAGATCTTGAAATAAAATATTCAAGTATGGAAAGAAAATAATTGCCAACCCAGGTTTTTATATTCTTTCAAAGTTATCCTTCAAAATTAAAGGAGAAATAAAGATTTTCCATGATAAGTATAAGCTAAAGAAATTCATGACCACCAAACTAGTATTACAGAAAACACTGAAGGGTCTACTAAACAGAGTTGGTGAAGACAACAGCAAACACAAGGCCAAAGGAAAAACTAAGTCTTACTGGAAGAGTAGTTAAACAAATGAGAAACAGAAATAAATGCTAGAAAAACAACAAAAATAAATTTTATATACCTTTTAATAATGTCACAATGGTCTCAGCTTTCCAATTAAAAGACACAAGCTGGCAGATTGGATCAAAAATACAGGACCCATCTATGTGTTGCCTGAAAGAAACACACCTCATCTTCAAAGATGTACATAGACTAAAATTGAAAGGCTGGAAAATGATACTCCTAGCAGCAGGAGCCCAAAGCAAGTGGCAGTAACAGTAACTGTACTATAGTTCTAGTATTTAACATAGTATACTTCAAATCAAAATGGGTCCAAAGGCCATTACATATTGTTAAAGGGAACAATTCACCAAGAAGAGAAATAATGGTAAATATATTACACTAAGAATCAGCACACCCAATCTCACAGAGCAAACACTACTTGGCATAAAAGAGCAAATAGAGCCAATACAAATGCACATGGAAAGATGTGTGCCATTATTCTTCAGAGAAATGCAAATCAAAACGATAATAAGGTATCATTTCACACACAGTATGGTGACTAGAATCAATAGGTCAGATTATGAAAAGTGTTGGAGAGGGTACAGAGAAACCACAACCCTTACACAGCACTGGTAGAAATGCAAAATGGTGCAACCCTTTGTGAAAGGAGTTTAGTAGTCCTTCAAATGATTAAAGAATAATCATACAATGTAGCAATCCCACTCTCAGGTAGTACATACCTGTGAGAAATGAAACCACATGTCCCCACAAAAATCTGCACACTAATCCTCACAGAAAGAGAAGAAAAATAGTAGTAAATGAGAGAAAGACTGAGGGGAAGGGAAAGAGGAAGAGAAAGGAAAAAACTAGAAGGTGGCTTATGTCACTAACGAGGTAACCAAAAGGGCAGGGAGAATGCTCTAAGGCTGTGCATGTGTGGGAATACAGAGAACCTCCTGTAAGGGGCACCACACATGTACATATGGTCACATGATTGGAGCAGTAACATCCTCTCCAGTCTGCAAACCTGCTCCATCCCCTGGCTCTCACCCACTCACCTGTGTGCGTGACTGCCCACACAGGATCTCCCCACATTCAGCAGCAGACCTCCTCTCTGTGGCTGCCCATGCCATCCATACTTGACTCCCATTCAACGCTACTGTTGTTCTTCCTAAAAGATATTTAAGTATGGGTGGGTGTGGACCACTCAAATGGCACCTAAAATACCTAACAAAGGAAAACCCAAGCATGTTAGGAAAGTACACTGGCACAAGACCAAGAAATATACCCAAAGACAACATTATGCCTTGTATCCAGGTATTCCCCTAAAGTCTCATGTGCTCATAGGTGGGGATTTTCAGAGCTGGCTGGATCTAGGGCATGTGATACAGGTGTGTGCCACTACGTCATTCTCCTGCTGGAATTAGCATAGTTTTGTGTGTGAATAATGGAAGCCCTGCCTTAGGTGTGGCTGCCACCAATCCCAAAGTTTATAGACAGAATACAAAAAAAGGAGAGTGAAGGCAGGTTTGCTGCTGCAACTGCTGCCGCTGGCTGTTGGCTACTTACTGACTCCTGCCTGCTTTTTCCATGAACTGTTTCTCCTCTGAGATGCCTCTCTGCCATGCCAACCTGCCTTAGACCCAGCCAGGTATGGACTGAAACCTCTACAAACTGAAACAAACCTTCCCTCCTTTAACTTTGAAATTGGGTATTTGGCCTCAGCAGTGAGAAGGGTAACTAAGACAGAGAACTAGAAAACACAAGAGGCTGGCTACATCATGGGGAGACACTATAGTACAAGTTTCCTGAAGTCGGGAAAGCTTACAGCCCTGTAGACCAACTGCCCAGGGCACAAAAATTCATACTGGGATTTGTTGAAATAGACTTTCAATATTCCCTGAGGAGAGAAATGTTTTATGAATCAAGAGACGAACCACACAATACTGAAAATTCTGAAAGCTCAGTTTTGTTTGGAGAGCACTGTTGTACTTGGTCACAAAATGTTAAGGAACATCAAATGCCACTTTAATGGCATTAGGACATCAAAAAGAGTTAAAATACCCCAGAACTGAAAGAGCCATCCATTAAAATACACTGGTGTCTAAATAAATAGGCGTTGGTTTTCCAGAAAAGTTTGCCACAATGGAGCATTCTTCTCCCTAACAAAGTTAGATAGCTAAGGTGTCAGGATGCTCTTGGTGGGACCGACTCATGTGCTAGGAGAATCTTTGCTAATGGAAGGGAAAGGAGAAAAATGCTTTAGAAAGACCCAGATTTGCTCTCTTTCAGGTGTTGCTGTGGCCAGCTCGCCAACCAGCATATTCCCCCTCTTCCAACTGCAACACCCAGCAAAAATGGAGAGGAGAACAAGCAGGTGGAAACCCAGCCTGAAAAATGGTCTGTCAGCAGACACACCCAGAGCTACCCAACCGACACCTATGGGATTCTTGAATTCCAGGGTGGTGGATATTCTAATAAAGCCATGGTAAGCGGGGCAGCTGGTCACAGAGCCAAGGGGACGTCAACTTCCACCAGAGACCCGTCTCTCAGCCCCTAGGCAACAGATATCTTGTCTTCTTTGCTGTTATGTCTCAGTCTCCCTAGATATTTCACTGTAGAACCGAAAGACTTATCTGTGCACATTGATTTTTAAGCCAAGAGACCTGGAAACTGGACATTGTCATAATGGACCTAAAATAGCTCATAAATCCATACCAAAGTTCTGACCTACAAAGTGTGCTCTGGCCCAATCTAGAAACCATGTCCACAGCTTCATTTCCAGTGATAGGAAAGTTCTTTTCAAAAAATGTATGGACCTGAAGCCCCCTTAGATGCATAGGAACTCTCTTAAAATATTTGTTCTGGGGCCGGGGAATTAGCTCAGAGGCATAAGTGCCTGCCTGGCAAACACAAGGTCGTGAATTTAATCCCCAGGACAAAAAAAATTTTTTTTGTTCTGAACCAGTCTACAGCTTTCCTGAAACTGTGCTCAGCCAGCACAAAAAGGACCCGAGTCTCTCACGCGTCTGTAAACAGGAAGTGCCCTCTGCCTTCCTGATGTGCTTGTCAGAGAGGGGAGGCTCACCCAGATCCCACCCAGCTAACTCCAAGTAACACATTCATATGCTTAGTTAGGCCATTTTTGCAATTTCATTTCATTTCATTTGTCCAATATCATTGCTTTTTAAAACAAATCCAGTTGTATTCTAAATACTACAATAAGTAATCTTTTAAAATGACTCGTTAGGTATTAATGTGGATACAAAGAAGCAATTCACAAGAACTGAGTCCTGAGACTATTGACCTCTTCTTCTTTGGAGGAGATCAAGTCCAGTTGTGGTCCCCTGATTCCTTTTTCTCCTCACTCAATAATATCCTTATCTGGCTATGAAACTGATTCTTCTAAAATTTAGGGGCCAGGCAAACTATAGGACAGTGGGTTATTTGTGAATTTCAAACTAGAGATAATTTTAACACAGCTATGTCCCAAATATTGAATGATTTATTGCACTTAGTAAAAATACTGTACTCAATTATTTTTTCATCATTTATCTAAAATTCAGATTTAACTGAGTGTGTTAGTCTATTCAGCTGCTACAACAAAGCACTGAGTAATTTCTAAACAATAAATACTCATTACTCACAGTTCTAGCAGCTAAGAACTCCAGGATCAAGACACCAGTAGATTTGGTGTCTGGTGAGATCTTACCTTTTGCTTCATAGACACTGATTCTTGAAGTATTGTAAACATTGCAGAAGAGGTGAACAAGTTCCTTTGGGCCTCCAGAGCACCGTCCCTTAGCCTTTAAGAGGTAACAAATGGCACCATACTATTACCTTGGGAACTGAGGCTTCAACACATGAATGGTAGGGAAACACAACTCTAAGCCTAGGAATTCCTTTATTTTTAGTTGCTAAATCTGGCATCTTTTCCCCAAACCCCTGGCCACAGATTCACACAGAGGGCACTGGGATACTGAGACAAGCCAGGCAGTTCTTGCTTAGATAGAGGGAGAACTCTGCTCCCTTTGACATGAGAAGCAAAACCAAGAACAGGTGCTGAGCACGCCCACTCTCCTTTACAGTATATTCGTGTATCTTACGACACTAAGCCAGACTCCCTGCTTCATCTCATGGTGAAAGACTGGCAGCTGGAACTCCCCAAGCTCTTAATATCAGTGCACGGAGGCCTCCAGAATTTTGAGATGCAGCCCAAGCTGAAGCAGGTGTTTGGGAAAGGTCTGATCAAGGCTGCCATGACCACGGGGGCCTGGATCTTTACAGGAGGCGTCAGCACCGGTAAGAGCAGGCCCTTCTCACCCTGTAAATGCAAACACCCTGAACTCACTGTGGTGCCCAAAGAGCTTCCCAGGAACAATGCTCAGAAAACAAAATACACTGCGTCCTGATCTTAGCATGAAGTCTTGTTTTAGTAGGTTTGGTTTGGTTTGGTTTGGTATGATTCATTTTGCTCCAATAGCAAATATGATAATTATGTTACTGTTCTATCACCCAAGATAATCAGCTTACAAAGAGATAAAGGTTGTTTTGGCTCACAGTTTTACATGTTTCGTCTATAATCTGTTGGCACAATTGCATGGTGGGAGGATAGGACAGAACAAAACCTCATGGCCAGGAATAAAAGAGGGAGCGATGGGGAGGCTGGAGTCCCACGGCCCCCTTTGAGGCACACCCCCATGACCCAAAGGCCATCCCCAAGGTTACATCTCTTAAAGTTTCCGTCCCTCCCAATAACACCAGGCTAGGTACCAAGCCTTTGAGGGTTACTGAAGATCCAAACTACAGCACTACTATCTCGACAATAGAAAACACTGATCATCCACTGTGCCCTGCTCCTTAACAGAACACTGGACAGTATGCTTCTAAGTTCTTCCTCCATGTTTGGAAGACTAAACTGAGGGGCAGAGAAGTTAAGAAACGGCCCAGGTGTTCTGGCTCTCACTTTTAGCTTAATGTAGCCAAAAACTGCTACAGTCACCCAGCGGCTTCCATCTTCAGGTCAAAGAAACTTGGAAAGAAAGTCCTTACCCAGTTACTTTGGGGTGCGCTTTTGTTTTTCCTATTTCAGGAGTCACAGCAGATTAATTAGCATGACCTTAGACATTCAGTATTACTTTCTTTTGGTGGTAAAGAAGAATCTATTCCACCCCTGTTTCACAGGGAATGTCCTTCAAATTCATGACACTAGTGGTGTGAGAAAAAGAGAGGAACCTAAACTATGGCTTGTGGTTGTCCCCAGGAGTCATCAGCCACGTGGGGGACGCCCTGAAGGACCACTCCTCCAAGTCCAGAGGCCGAGTCTGTGCTATAGGAATCGCCCCATGGGGCATGGTGGAAAATAAAGAAGACCTCATTGGCAAGGACGTAAGTATTTTCTCTGAAGACGCTGACGATGTTTTAAGATTGAAGTCTATATTTCAGTTAACTGCATATGCTCATGTAAGAACTAGTAAACAGAGCTCCTGCCTCTTATGCTTCACATGAAGCCATAGTAGAATATCACAACCAGGATGTTAATATTGATACGGTCAAGATACCAAACTCTTCCATCAGTGCAAAGTTCCTGCCTATTGTCCTTTACTGCCTATAGCCAAGTCCCTCCAGCCCTCACTCCCTCCTTAACCCCTGACAACCACGAAGATGCCACACAACTGTATAATTTTATTACTTCAGGTGTATCATACAAATGCATAACCCGTATGTGTAACCTTTGGCTTTTCTTACTCTGTGCAGTTCTCTGGATATTTGTCTATAGTTTCATGTATGTCAGTAGTTCCTTCCTTTTCATGGCTGAGTGGGATTTATAGTATAAATATATCATAGGTTGGGGCTAGGGATTTAGCTCAGGGCCTGCCTTGCAAGTGTGTGGTCGTGAGTTCGATCCCTGATACTGATAAAGAAGGAAAAAGACAAAAAAAATCATAGGTTGTTTAATCATTTATCTGTTGAAAAACATTTGAGTTATTTACAGTTTGTCTGTTACAAAACGGCCATAAACTTTGTGTTAATGTAAGTTTTCATTTATCTGTGATAAATATCCAGCGTATAATTGCTGAGTTACTATTATCTAACATAACAGTTTTTTTCTGTTTTAATGCAGCAAGTGAGGAAACAATTCTAAAGACAGACTAGAAGTGCCAGAATGAGTTTAAGCATAGTCAGTGCACAATATGCACCCCACTCCCTTCTCTGTTGGTCTTAGCCTCCACGTTCTACAGCTCTGGTTTTCATTGTGCCTTCCGTCAGGTGACAAGGGTGTACCAGACCATGTCTAACCCTCTGAGTAAGCTGTCTGTGCTCAACAACTCACACACACACTTCATCCTGGCCGACAATGGGACCACGGGCAAGTACGGAGCAGAGGTGAAGCTGCGGAGACAGCTGGAAAAGCACATCTCTCTGCAGAAGATCAACACAAGTAAGTCCTGGAGAAGACACTGGTGCTACCCCGGACTGGTGCCTCAACCATAGAACCAGCTGAGGAGGAAACTGCCCGGGGGTGTTTAAAGTTTTACCTTTGGCTCTTGCCAGATCAATAGAATATGCCTTAACCTAGACCTTTTGCTTCAGCCACCTGCCAAATATCATCACTGAGCTACCACATGGTGCTTCACTTAGAGTTCACAAGTGGGTGCAAGACACAGCTTCGCAGTGGTTGTCACTATGATAGTGCTACCTATCGCGTTGCCCTACGTTACTTTTTTAAAAAACATTTTAATAGTATAAAACATCTTAATAAAGACCTAGTATGATACCCTCTCTGAACTGTTGAGTGTAATATGATCACTAAATATCTCTATAGCTCTGGGTCTCTCACTCAGACTAAGAGGACCAGGAATGGAAACCTCTATCTGGTACACAAGAGCCATTTGCTGCTAAGGGGGCATCCTGCTTGCTGATCATAGCACTGAAGAGGGGCAGTCAGTGTTGAGTTATCTGAGGTTGAAATAGAGAGAAAGGAATAAACTCCAATCAGAAGAAATGATAAGAATTGGGTAGAACTAAAATACCTGGAATGATCTGTTGGATATCCCCATATCCCAACAGTTTTACTGTGAAACAATTTTAAACGATATCCAAGGTATTTGTTTTAACCATTCTGGATAGGTTTTTGTGTAAGCCAATCTAGGCCTACATTGCTCAAGGGACTAGACTGGGGAGGGCCAAAGGATGTGGATGTTCAAGAATCACATCTCCATGGATAAATCGATTTAATTGTTCACTGTTGTTTTCAACATTTTAAATTTTTCTGGACGTGGGAGTTATCACCTTGCGCTGCTTCACCCAGCCACGTGACTTGTGGGCTTCCCTTTGTCATCCTTTGCCTAGGGCTCTGATAGGGCAGGGACTGCAAAGGGGTACTCAGTTGTCACCGTCTGCTCCAGAAGCTTTGGTGAGTCCTGCTTCGGTCAAGAAGAACCCGTCTTATTCTTTTAGACGAGAAGGTGATTTATATACTATATCCCTGAAGATCTAAGCTCGAAGACAGAGTCATCATGATCTTTTCTCTAGTGTCCGCTGCTGAGCTGTGGGAACTTTCAATGCTTATCTGCTGAAATGACCATAACTATGATTCAGTAGGAGACAGAAAATTTGTTCACAATATTTAAGCATTCCTGAAATGCATTGTGGAACCCAGTTGGAAACTCTGGATCCACCCATTGAATTTCTCAATCCTTCTCATGACCTGTGCTAGCAGATTTTATCTGAAGGTCCAGGAAACCTTCCCTACTGCTGTTTGTTAATGTTGGTCAACTAACTGCCACCATAGACAGCTGGTGAAATACGCACAGGATACAGTCAGCCCTCCACATGCATGGGTTCTGTGTCCAACAACTGCAGGTGGGAAATATTTGAGGGAAAAAATTGTTTATACTGAACATAGTGATAACAACTAGTTACCCAGCACTTGCATTGTACTAGGTATTATAAGTCACCTAGAAACAATTTGAGTGTACGGGAGGAGGTGCTTAGGTTCAATGTAACTACTATACCATTTTATATGTGGGGTCTTGACATTCAAGGATTTGAGGGTCCCTCCACAAGGAATCCTGGCACTAACCCTCCTCAGATACCATCCTGATGGTTCTACCACTAAAAGCTAACTTGCACACTGTGTTCTCAGAGAGTCTTATCATTGGATAAAAGCAGAGAGACGACTCTGGGAATAAGTCATCAACAGGTCCATGTGTCAGCCCCTAAGACAGCTGAGAAGTCAAGCGTCCTTTATCTGAAACGCTTGGCACCAGAAGTGTTTCAGATTTCAGGGTTTTCAGAGTGTGGAATAGTTGCATGGACTTTTATCAGTTGAGTATCACTGGGGCTGGGGATTTAGCTCAGCGGCATAAGCGCCTGCCTTGCAAGCAGGCAGTCGTGAGTTTGATCCCTGGTACCGATAAAAAGTTTTTTTAAAAAAATTGGCCAGTTGAGGATCACTAATCAGAACTCAGAAATGGTCCCCGTTGGTTTTGGATTTTCACATTAGAATGCTCAGTCTACCCTGCCTTATTACAGGTGCTGGAGGAAGAAACAAAATCGCACCTCAAATCTGTGTGTCATTTAAAGTTCACAAAATACTTGACAGATTGGCATTTTCCTGTATTTCAGATCTATGGCTCCTTTGAAAGAAAGGAAAGCATTGTGATTATCTGCCTTTTGCAAGAGGTTGTCTCAGCAGAAAAGCAGAAGGGAGACTATTAGAGAAGAGGACGGGAGTCACAGGGAGGGGGAGGGAAGGGAAAGGCGATTGAAAATAATGACAGTTTATGTCACATGTACCTAAATGACAAAATGAAGCTAGTCTTCTGTTTAACTACTAAGCACTAATAAGATTAAAAATTAAAAACAGCAATTTTTAAATTGTCTTCTAAGTGTCATTGGGAGCTGGTAACTGGCCCAGTGTCATTGGAGAGGCGGGAGTGCACCAAGCCCCTTTCCCTGTGTCATTCATTAGGAGTCACCCTGGGGTGGGGGAGGAGTGAAGAGCACCCCAGGGAATTGGCCCATGGGGGGTGTCAAGAAGTTCAGGATTTTGGAAGTTCTGGGTTTCCCAAAGGGGCCGTGATATGATGACTGAATACTGACAGGGGAAATAATCCCGTGCCTGAATCCCTCCCACCTCTTGGTACCCACACAGTGCTGAAGTGTTTCCTCTTCACTGTGTTTCAGGTGAAGACGCTGCATGCAGGCGTGAGCAGTGACTGTGGTTTGTGTTGCAGGACTAGGGCAGGGCGTGCCTGTCGTGGGGCTCGTGGTGGAAGGGGGGCCTAACGTGATGTCTGTGGTCTTGGAATACCTCCGGGAAGACCCTCCTGTCCCCGTGGTCATTTGTGACGGAAGTGGACGAGCCTCGGATATCCTGTCCTTTGCACACAAGTACTGTGAAGAAGGAGGGTAGGATTTCTGACATGTGACCCAGGGTGGGTTCTCAATGCCTCCTTGGTAGGGCAAGGAGCGCGGCTCAAGTGAAATGCTCAAACACTCCAAATGTGTACACACTGGAAATATCTGCAGGTCTCCTCTCCCATTTCTGAGGTTAGCCTTCGAGGGAATGCTTAGCACCAAAATCCTCTGTGAAACACACTCTTTTCCAACTTCGTTCTCAGTTCTAAGATTTGCAGCAGGGCTGAAACTTAGGACCAATGTGAATGCAATGTTTGACCACGGTGACTCTGTCTCCTGTGCAGGGTTCCCCTCTCTCCCAGAGCACAGTTTCAAATCAGTGCTACCAGATGGATACAGAAATGTCTGATTTAGTCCTGAATGAGTTTCACTGGCTTTCTTTTGTTCTCTTTTGTGTTCCTTTGAACAGGATAATAAACGAGTCCCTCAGGGATCAGCTTCTAGTTACCATTCAGAAAACGTTTAATTACAGCAAAACACAATCACAACAGCTGTTTGCAATTACAATGGAGTGCATGAAGAAGAAAGAACTTGTAAGTGTCTTGAGTTTGTTTCCAAACAAGCTCTTCAGAGAGAATTACGTTTCCTTTTCTAATTCTGCCCATGTGTGCTTGATAGAGTTGCTTATAAAAGGTTCAGCCTTTTCCAAGAGGCAGTTTAAAAACCTGCACCAAATTGGCAGCGTACCCTCATTGGAAGAAGTGGAACAAACCCACACAAGAGAGAGTCCCTGATGCTTTCAGACCTTAGCAAATATGAGGTGACATCTCACCGTGTCACATAACCCAGGGGTACAAAACATGCATCAGACTTGAAGACTTGGGAGATAGAGGCATATACCACAATTTTCAACAGTTATATGATCGAAATCATTTCACTTTCTAAATGAAGTAATTATTTCCCATTTCTTCCTTAATTGTATTTGAAAGAAATAGGTATTTCAGGTGCATGTAAGATGGTGTCTTTAAAATTCTGAGTTTATAAATTTCCTATAAATCTATCCAACCTGATTGAATGATTTTATCATCTCAGATGGCTACTTAGATATTGGAGCATAGACCCAGAATGGCTCCCTCCTCTCCAGAGCATTGGAACAGAGTAGGAAAATAAGAAAATCAGAATCTAAGCAATGATTCATAGCGAAAGCAGCCCTATGACTCCTGGAAATCAAAAGCACTGGATTTGAAATTGTTTATCTGTCATTATGAGATAGTCTTTTTCTGTTGTTTTAAACACTTGAATTCCCTCTCTGTTTTCTTTGCTTTAACTCCATTATTTTGCAATTTTCCTGTTTTCAGGTCACTGTGTTTAGAATGGGCTCTGAGGGTCAGCAAGATGTTGAGATGGCAATTTTAACAGCCCTGTTGAAAGGTGAGCGCTCAGAAATGCAGACCTCTGTCCTTTCAGGGAGCCACTGCCTGGGGCAGGGATGGCACCTGACAGAACCTGACCCAGCCTGGCTCCTTGGGGGTGATTTTAGCAAGAAGCCACTCTACAGTCACAAGGCTCCTGCAGAGTGGCCGTGTGATGGAGTCTGTGAGTGTCTGTGAACCACGCTGTGCTGAGGTCAGACCTGGTTCCATTAGTAACTAGCTCATGGAGGGCTTTTACACTTCGTAAACATGAACCAGATTTTCTTCTGCAATCACTGCGTTCTGCAGGGCTCTGTCTAATTTCTCTGTCCTACCCCTAATGACAGGCTTCTACCAGGCACTTGTGAGGTGGGGTCTGCTCTAGGATGACATTTCCACCCTCCTTCTCTGTAAGACTGGGCCATATGGGGGCAGAGAAGAAGGGGTCACCATGGGCCAACTGGTTCACAGTGAGTGCTCCTGGAAAGGGGATCACCCTTTGGCTTGGTTGGCAGATACCTGGACAGCCCTGGGGCTCCTGCCCTTTGTCAGATAACAACCTTGAGTCCCAGGGTTCCTCCTCTGTGCCTCCCAAGGAGATCATGCAGAGCTGGCAAGGGAGGAGGTCGCCTCCAGCTCCCTCTCAGGTGGCTCCAGGACAGCTTGGAAATCTCAGCTTCCAGGCCTTAGTGGTGAATCAGGAGCCAGAGAAAAGGCAGTGTTTCTAAAGGGGGAAACCAGGGGAAGCCCAGGCCCATTTCCTACCACCTGTCAAATCCAGGGGTCCAGGCACAAATCAGAAAATCGCTGTTTCTTGCCTTTCTAGGAACCAATGCATCAGCTCCGGATCAACTGAGCTTGGCCCTGGCCTGGAACCGCGTTGACATTGCGCGAAGCCAGATCTTTGTCTTTGGGCCTCACTGGCCGGTGACCCTATTTTTTTATTCTTGTTGTTATTATGACCTTGTACAGATAGTGTATTAGCATGTTCTCCCTTGTGACATGGATGTTAGGAAAAAATCTGGGGTTTCTGATGCTCAAATAGATAATCCTTTAGGATTAATTGAAGATGCTGCTGCTTAATTTTAAAACATCAAAAATGAGAAGCTATGCGCACTAATTCCAGATGTAGACCAGTCTTGAAGAACTCAGTCACCAAATCTTTTATTATTGCTGGTGAAAGTACACCTGTTCCCCTTCGGAAAAAAAAGAAGAAAGGAAATAGCTCATTAAGAGTACATGCAGTGCTTCCCATTGGACACTGACTTTTCAAATTATATTCCATGAAACCCTGGATGCCTAGAAAAATGCATGCATGTGCACGCTCACACATGTGTGTTTATGTCTGTCTGTCTATGCATTGTGTCTATGGATGATGTCTATGTGGTCTTTGCATGTGGTGGTATTTGTGGCGTGGTTTAGTATGTTGTGTGTGGTGTCCATGTGCAGCACATATGTTTGGTATGTGGATGGATATGGGTGTGTGACGTGTGTGTGTGTGTGTGTGTATGTGGTTTACCATGTGTTCTCTATTTGTAGAGGAGAGAATATGGCATATGTGTATGTGAGTGTGCAGGTAAGGGAGGTTTTGTGTGTGTCACACTATGGGAGGTGTCCACAGGATACAATGTGAGTGAGCAGTGTGTGGGCATGAGGCTGGCAGGCGTGTATGTGTGGAAAATCAGTGAGTGTGTGGTCAAAAGATTGTGTGTGACTGTGTGTGTGTTTTACATGTGCATGGTTAGAGACTGTGTGTGTGTGTGTGTGTGTGTGTGTGTGCCGTGCTATGACAGGCATGTGGGATAAGTGAGTTTAGGCTTCCTATTCCTTGCTTCTGCCAAGGCAGCTTCTTTGATCCATTTTGTAGATCAGGATCCAGAATAAATCTGTTTGTAAAGGAGGACTGTCACGGGACTGGGGGAATCAAGATGGCTCATGTCACTCTTAATGCTATTGCTCAAAACATGCCTGGCATGTTGCTACACAAATGAATTTTATTTTTATAACAACTTTTTAACCAAATCAGTATGAAGATTTTATCAAATAAGATAAATCAATTAAAGAAATACAATGTTGAAGGACAGGTTTCGTGCCTGTTGCTGACCTAAATTAGGAAAGATAACGCAGCCAGGTGTCGCGGAATAGTCTGAAATCCTGGTCCTCTGAGAGGCTGAGGCGGAAAGATCACAAGTTCAGGCCTAGACCAAAGAGTTCATCAACTTACTAACAACCCTGCCATCAACAACTAAAACCCTACCTCAAAATAAAAACGGGGGGCTGGGGATGTAGCCAACTTGAAGCCCTGGGTTGAAGCCCCAGTAAAACATGACGGGAGGTATGGTGAAAATAGAAAACACCTAAAATGTTTGAATTTATTTTTAATCTTGAGCCTTTTATTCAGGAAGAATGATCCCAGGGCTCTTTGTTGAAGGAGTGGCAATTTTTTGAGTTAGCCAGAGAGAAAAAGTAAACTGCTTTCCAGGCTGTAAAAAAAGCCTGGCCTGGGGACCAGCCATGACACGCAGTCCTGCTTGGTCCAGCTTAATCACCTGCTGCTCATCTTCCTGTTGCTAAGATGATAAGTAATTTAAACAAAATTTATATAATACGGAAAAGCAAAAGAAGGATACAATTGTTTGCACTTCATCATCATAGAAAAACTCTGTTGTGGATTTGTTTCATAATTTCATTTTGCCATTCCATGTATCATCATTAAATATTCTCAAACCATTTTAAGGCCACTATTCTTTGCTTCTATTTTCCAATGAAGATATCGATGTGGTCTGAAAATCAAACAATGAACACACAAGTAAAATCTCCCCTCCTGCCTCTCTTGGTTAACTGTGGGTGTAGCTGTGTTCATCCGTCCTCCACTTGGAAATAGAAGAAAAAGCAGCTCTCTGGCTTCCACCTTTCCACCCTGCCGGGATTGACTATGGCCCGCTTAATCTTTTCATTGCTAACCTTATAACAGTAAAGAATATCCTGAACCATCCACCCACTTCATCAAAGCCAGGCTCTGTTTATAAAATGAAGAACTTAGCTCCATCCAGCTTCCTCTTCCACTGTCCACCTTACCAGACCAATCAGCCGCATCTCTACTATGCACAACATGGTTACGTATCATTCTGTAATTATTATTAAAGTTCTATTACATTGTGGTCTTTAACGATCGTGAGATTTTAATACATGGTCTCTATGTTGATCCTCAAAATGGAAAACCCAGCAAAGTGTACACAGTCGTGGATTACACAGGACTTGTTCATTGCTGAACTCAAGAGTTGGTTTGAACTCAAAGACAAGGAAAGTTAGCCTTGGCTTTTCTTGTCACTTCTAATTAATTCTTTATCTTCCATATTTGCCTTATCTTCATTAAGAGTTGTTTATCATCTTATTCATTATTGTCCATTTCCTCTTGGAGACGCTCTCATAACCCATGGTTTCACATTCAGCTGTCCTGGGTGCTCCAACGCCAATTCCTCAGCGCTGCAGCTCGGACAACGCTTCGGCAAAGCCTGAGATGGGGCCATTGCTTCCGAGGCCCCAGCTAGCTCCCTTTCAGAACCCTGTTTCATTTTGCTTTGGTACATCTTCAAGGAATATGTAAAGAGTGCCAGGATTTGTCTTGTGTGGCTGGGAAGTCTGATGATTGTCTTATGATTTTCATTTGATTGTAGATGAACCGTGTTTTTCCTCAGATACATTTGAAGACCCACTCTTTGTTTTCCAGTGCTTTGAGACTGCACAAGGACACAGAAATAGAGTACGAATCCATGCACTCATGAACGCTCTCAGGAGCCACCCATTCCATTTGGCCATAAAAGCCCAGTTAGTTCTTCCAAAGTTTCCTCTGTGCTTCTTTAAGCCTTTCTTCCTTTGTTTTTCTCTCTCTTCACCTGGAATTCCTGTGACTCCAATGCTAGTCCCCACTGCCCAGGTTAACTCATTTTCTCATTTCTGTTATTCTGCTGTGTATTTTTTAAATCATCTTGGTTTTTTTCTTGAGATTTTATATTAATTTTAAAGCAACCATAGTTTCAACATCTAAGAAAGTTTGCAGATCTGAGGCTACAAATCAGATTTTTAAAGTTCTCTTCCGTTTTCTGAATGCTCTCTGGTTTTCCCTGGTCAGCGGCTGCTTTATTGTCTTTTCCTCTTCTGGTGTGCTGTGTACTTTCTCAATGTCGCAGAGCCCGGGTTAGCCATTCACCACTCAGGGAAGGAAGGGGGTTGCTTACTTAGTATAGAAGCCTATTTTGCCTGTGGAATTTTCTTCCTGGGGTTGGGAGAGCTACTGAAATAGAATTAGCCGCCGAGGCACGAGACTGTGCCCTGGACAGGTCTGCTTTGCCCTGTGCAGACTGCAGCAGGCCGTTCCGCTCCTCTCCAGGCGGCACTGCAGTTTCTCCTGGAGGGAAAGCCCGGGGTTCAGGTGCTTGTTCTCCTCCAGCTCACTGCAGCAGGAAGCTGGAAGGGCAGGGATGGGTGGTGCTGCATTGCCAACCATCCTTCCAGGTGCCACCACGTCTCTGTCCACCCTCACTCTTCATATCTTGGGACATTTGATGCCTCCTGCACAGCAGTCTCCGTAGAGCACAATTTGGGATTCTTCCTCCTCTCCACAGTGTCAACTGGACCATCAGTTCTTCCAAAAACCCACAGTATTATAATGCTAGCCAGCCTCCTCTCCCTGAAATAAATTTTCTTTTCCGATTTCTTCTGCCATTATTTAATAGTATTGGAGGAGAGAAGGAAGGTGGAAACATGTGCTCAAACTGCAACCTAGGACTAACAGTCCTTCTGTTTTCCAACAACGGAAGAGAGCAAAGCCTTCCTTTAATTGCTGAATTGCCAAGAAATGTGTACTGTGAATATAGAGCCTTCCTCTACTTCTTGCCATAATGGAGAATTTATGGTAGGCAGGACTTAAGAACTTAAGTCCTAATTCTGATTTATCATATTTTATTAGTCAGTTTCCTCTACCCATACTTTCTATTATTCAGTGCAAAAATGAAAGCTGCATGAGAATGTAAATATGGTCACCAGAGGGGAGGCCGTGGGGGATAAGGGATGCTGGCCAAAAGATACAGAGCTTCGGTTTGATCTGATGACCTACTGTACAGCATGGAGAACATAATTAAAATGTGTACTATACTGGAAAATTGTTAAGAATCGATTTCAAGAGTTTTCATCACAAAAATGATGTTACTTGAGGTGACGGGTATGTTAGTTAGCTTGATTTGATCATCCTTAATGTGAACAGAGATCGAAACATCGTGTACATGCCATAAGAGCCCATGCGAATCCTTCAAAATTAAATGCATAAGTAATAAAAATGAAATCAAAGCTTCTCCAATAAACCCATCATTAAAACATGTTTTTAAACATAACAGAGAGAGAGAAAAGAAGCATTTGATAGGTATAAGTAACAAAGTTATTTCTCTTGAGTCTTAAATTTTTAGATTAATAATTTAATCTACGGGAAGGGAAAAAAAGGTGAACTCAGTCTGAAAATTGAAGAAGGAGGCTTGATACTATCACAACTTCTGACCACTTTAGTATGGACAAAATCTACAAACCTTTTTTACCTTCTCTGAGATTTTGGGAACATGTCTGCTGACCTTTCGGAATAAGAACTATTTATTTGGTTTTTCTCTATGGATGTAGGACCTGCTTTCAGTAAAACTATGGACTAGAATGATAAATCCTAAAGTAGACATTGGTGATAATGTCGGTTATTTCGATTGTTTATTGAACCTTGTCCTGTATGTTCATGTACATGAGCGGTATTGAATCAGCTGCCCAGGTTCTTACAAGCTCTAATTGTTAGATTTCATTTTGAGTTTGCTAAAAGATTGATATACCAAGAGGTTAAGGGATTTTCCCCAAATTTGCTCAATGCTTTTAAATAGCATATAGGTCAAAGAATATACTTTAAAAGGAAAAAAATAAATATTTTGCATTAAATATAAATGTGAATACAACTTACCAAATTTATGGCATGGAACAAGAGCAGTGCTTGGAGCAGAATACATACAGGAAAGCAGAAAGTTCTAAAACAACCAATCTGAAATGGAAGAAGAGAAATTAAATACAAAGCCAAAGAAAATAAATAACAGAAATCAATGACCTGAAAATAATCAACAAAATTAGAATATAGTTCATTTTAAAGACAAAAAAAAAAAAGCACTCTTTCAAGGCTAAGAACAAAATGGGAAAATACAATTTACCAATATCAGAAATAAAGGAAGCACTGTTACTACAGTCCCATGGACATGAAAAGCATAATAAAAGAATGTTACAGATGACATCATCAGCAAGTGATTAGTCAACCCTATCTTAGGCTGTGAATCAGAATTCCCTCTTTCTCCATGGCCCGTGCCACATTTTTTAGAGTGTGGGATCCAGAGTTTAGCATCCTGCGCTAAGCATGATCCCAGCTACACGGCCCAGAGAGTGTCACCTGCCTTGTGTCGGCTCTGTACTTCTGGCAGTGCAGAAGCATACAGTGTTTCCTTCCTGAGGTTTTGTAGTGCACACAGCCTGCTAACCTCCGTGACCCTCAGCCTGCAGTTCTGGGGTTAGCTGTTCTTGGGCCAGGCGGTATGGGTCCAGGTGGGAGAGGTTTTTCCTGTGTTATGTCTCACCCTGCTAGACCCAGTGTCAGACTGGTAGGGTTTTTAAATTACCATTTTATCACCCGTCTCACTTTCCATGGGGCCTAAATAAATGCCACAAGCACCCTGTCCTCAAACCGTATCTTTTTAAAAAAATTTATTAGTCCATGTTTGCCATACATGATGACCACATTCATCGTGGGGAATTTGTACCTGTCCATAAATATCTTTTTTTAAAACTTTTTATCAGTACCAGGGATCGAACTCACAACTGCCTGCTTCCAAGGCAGGTGCTTATGCCGCTGAGCTAAATCCCCAGCCCTCCATAATATATCTTAACTCTTTTTCCCATTCCTCTCCCCTCCCCTCAACTTTTCTCCTCCCCACTTACAAAAGTTTTGTTTCTACCTTTTCCAGTTCTGTCACTCCTACTCTCTCAAATTCCTCCAGAAACTTTGCTTTCGAGTTGAAAGAACCTTCCTACACATGGCACCAGGAGCAGACTCTCAGTTTACCCAGCAGATGAGAGCCAAAGCCACTCTTTGAACCCCTCTCACTACCAAGGCCTGTGCCAGCCAGGCCCACAGCTGCCCTCTGAAGCTGTCAACCACGCTCTTAGAATCCTGGGGCATCACAGCCATGGAGGCAGAGTGGTGAGATTATTTGCACCTTCAGGAACATGCTCCTGATGCCCAACCACGTCTCTTCTATTCCTTTCAATAGCAAAGACAGAAGCCACCAAGAGGAGGAGATAGGCTGCCTACTTCTCAGGGGCTCAGCAGCTTCAAATGCTGGAGCCAACCTCTGCTTTCATTTCCTTGAAGCAAATCAAACTTTAAAACATTTACATTTTTACTCATTCACTCATTTAGCAAGGGCTGGTTGACTGGGGACACAGGAGTGAATAAAACAGGTCTACTCAAGGTATGCATGCCTGTGTGTGTTGACACACGTGTGCCTTGCATATATGCACACATGCTTGTGAGTGGCCTGGACGTGTGGTATTGTGTGTGCAGAGTTGTCAGTGGGCTTGGCTGGTGACAAGTCACAGCCCTCACCTTTTCACAACCCTATTTGTCATGGGCTGCAGCCCCTGGGAAGCCTGGCCCCTCCTGTGGATAACAAAATCGCAGAGAAGGACAAGAAGCCACCCACAGCCACCACCAAGGGGCGAGGAAAGGGGAAAGGCAAGAAGAAAGGGAAAGTGAAAGAGGAAGTGGAGGAGGAGACTGACCCGCGGAAGCTCGAGTTGCTAAACTGGGTATGAGAACAGCCTTGCTCTTGTTTTCTGAGATCCTGGAGACCGCAGCGTTTGCTCGCCCTCCTCCAGGGCAAGCAGCAGCTCTGGTTGCCTTTGAGTCAGCCACACCAGGGCTCCGGGCTCAGGAGGGAGGATAAAGGATCGACAGGATAATGATAATATTGCAGGGAGCCAGGGCACAAGTGCTACCATGCAGCGCAGCACGTGTCTGTGCTCGTGGAAGGAAGGTGCCACTTACAGAGGAGGTTCTGGTCATCTTGCCTAACAGTGGCTTTCTCTGCCTGGCTGACATGCAGATGCTTGATGCAGGAAAGTATGTGAAACAAACCAATTATTACCACGTAATTGCAGGCTGTGCAACAAAATCTTTCTGAGGGTAGAGCCTGGGGTTGGGTGTGGGGAACCAGCAGCTGTGAGGCCAGGGCCACACGTGCACGGTGACTCTCGGTCTCTCTGCTGCCAGGACACAGACAAGACAGAGCCTGCCATGACGTGTCTTGCCATTGTCACAGTCACTCTCTTTGTGGCGTGCTATTGTGTGCCCACTCGGCCCAGTATGGGTACTGAGTGATTCTCAGTTAGAGAAACAAAAGAGAGAAATGGACAGGGCAGCAGCAGTATGGCGGGTGTTAACCCTCTTCCATTTATCCTAAAAGATTCTCTACAAACTTTGAGAGAACGTGCAGGTGTCAAAGCAGGGGAGAGATGAGGCAGGTTTAATCAGGACAAAGGACCTGAAAAACCCTGGGGTCAGCTCAGTGGCACAGCAGCTGACCTTAGCCCCTGGGTTCATGGCACACAAAAAAACAAAAGAGGGGGCTGGGGATAAAGAACCATATTCAGAAACGTCTGGGTGTCAAAATACCCATGATGATTCCAATGGCCTCCGACCTGGTGTCCCTCAAGTTCCCCTCCCCGGATCCCCACAGGTGAATGCTTTGGAGCAAGCAATGCTGGATGCTTTAGTCTTAGATCGCGTTGACTTTGTGAAGCTCCTGATTGAAAACGGAGTGAACATGCAACACTTTCTTACCATTCCAAGACTGGAGGAGCTTTACAACACGGTGAGTGCCAGAAGGCGGGAGGGAGGCCGGGGCACCCCTCTGAGTGTTTTCATCACTGATGTATCTGATGTGGAGCTATGCTCAGAATTGTTAGGTACTGTTTCAACCAGGAGGTCTGTATGTAAGGGTGGGCATCTATTTCTTTTGTTTTTTCTTTTTCTTTTATTTTAAAGGGAGCAAAGCAAAACAATAAAACAAGACAAAACAAGGCAATGAGACTGATTTTGGGTTTCAAAAGCAAGATGGTAGGAAATCCACAATAGTTACTATATTGCATATTGTTCTCCTCTTAATAGCTGTTCAGACCACTGGCTTTAGGCCTGCAAAGTCAATCAAACAATACAAACATTGATTGCTTCTTTCCTTAGTTGCTATCATCTCAGCCTGTGTTCCTCTCAGTCAACTGGTTGCTTGGGGGTGGGTGCACTTTTTCTCCCCTGGGGCTCATGAGGGGTCGTGGCTCCTTGGTCCTCCCCCAGCCAGTCCGACTGCTCTCAGGCAGCTATTTCTTGCTGATGTGCTCACATTCCTATCAATCACCACCACACATAGCCAATCAGTTCCTTCCGGAGTCAGATAGACACTCGTTGACTTATAATTGCCTTGTGTCCCAATAAACACATTACAAATTTAAAATATCATACGATGAAAATACACTGGACGCACCTACCCTCCTGAACATAGAACACTACAGATGTCTGTCCTTGTGGTTGTACGGCTGACTGGGAGCTGACACTGCCAGCACTGAGAGGCAGGATTGGACTGTGTGCCACCAGCCCTGTGAAAAAGATCAAAATTCAAGTAATTTCTGTTACATGCATATGTATTGTTTTTGCACCATTGTAAAATCTAAAAATCTTAAATCTTGAATCAGCCTAAGGCAGAGACTGTCTGTATTCATTTCTCTCTACACGCAAAAAGTGAGAGTCAAGTTCCTAAGTGATTCAAAGATGAAAAAGTTACTAGGGGTGATTAGTCAATTTTTTCTTGGGACTGTCACATATTTATGAGGCTTTAGTAGAACATGTAGAAATATGTTTGCATAGCAAGGAGCTCTGCTGTGAATGGGAGCCTTTGCGTGAATGCATGAAACTGCTTTGTCTCCTACTAGTACAACAGAGATTTTGAGAATTCGTGTTCCCTTTCCTATTCTAAGAAATTAAGTGGCAGAAATGGTCCTCGGCAGGTGCTTGCTAAAACTTGATGACCCTTGAACATGTGCTGTACATTCTCAGTACTCTGTAAAACAATTCAATGGAAAATACTTCACATATTTCCAACGTGTTGTCACTTAATAGCGAGGGAACCAGCTGGACATGGTTCTCAGCCATGGCCAGTACTGTTTCATAAGACAAACTAACAGTGGGTCCCATTCCAGCTTCCACAATGTATTAATTCTATACAGAAGATCAAGATGTTGCTCCAAGAGTTGGAGAGAAAAACACACTTAATACAGCTGAATGCTTCTCTTCCAGAGACTGGGTCCATCAAACACACTCCATCTGCTGGTGAGGGATGTGAAGAAGGTGAGTCCAGCTGCACTGTTTCATCATCCTCCCTAGAGAACCTTCCACTAAAATAGTTCTTTTTTTTTTTTTTTTTTTTGTACCAGGATCGAACTCACAACCTTGCATTTGCCAAGCAGATGCTTATGACACTGAGCTAAATCCCCGGCACTAAAACAGTTCTTAAAGACTATTTTTAAATTTCTCAAAGTGTGTTATCTTCATAGTATTTTACAAGTCATAAGAGATGATGAATTCCTCCCTTCATAAAGAGTTTATTTAAAACTGAACGAGGAAAATATTTTCTGAATTGCACGTGCATCCCCACAGGGAAGAACATGTGAATGTCTGCTTGGTGATTGGTTGGAAGCATGACAAGACCCAGGGAGGACCCTACCTCTGAGATCTACAGGCCACTGTCAGCCAGGGCCACCTTCCTTCTTTCTATGTTCACCTGAGTGTTCTCACTCATGCACTGTGCTTTTCCAGGAAGCACCTCTGGGAAGTTCCTTAATGAGCCCTAAGTCCGGTGGATTGCATCACATGTCCTCAGTCATCTCTGTCCCCTGTTTGTTTGTTTGTTTGTTTGTTTTTGGAGACAAGGTCTCACCATGTAGTCCAGGCTGGCCTTGAATTCACTATGTAGCCCAGGCTGGCCTCAGCTGCCTCAGCCTCCCAAGTGCTGGGATTATAGATATGCCACCACACCCAGCTAGTTCCCTCATTCTTAAGGGACAGCTGCTTGACTCACTTTCTCTTGCCACCAACACTGTATTTACAGTCAGTGTCCCTTGAGATCTTGCACACTTGGTGTTCTGTCATGGTATTTCTTGTGTCCTGTCACCACAGGTTAGCAGATTAGACTAGGTTCACCTCAAAATGATTCATTTCACTGCACAGCAGTTCCTGACATACAAAGTGTGTGATAGGTACTTGTATACTAAGCGAGAGAAATAGCTCAAATGAAAAGATGGGGATTCCAGCCAGAGTCCTCAGTAGCCTGGTTACATTTCATACGAATATGTAATTCTAATCACATAAGACCTTTCCCGTAAGGATTCTGATCTCCCTCTCCCACAGAACCCAGCTGCAAGATAGATTAGGGATTGCAAATTTTCAAGAGCCATAGCTCCTCTAGCTCAGGTACCACTGTTTCTCACCTGAGTGGCTTCAGTAAAGTCCTCTATCCCCCAGATCCAGCCTCCCACTGTTCCCTGCTGAAAATCTCCCGGTCTCCCCATGGCCCACAGCATGAAATTCAAACTTGCTCCAAGCACCATGAGCACACCCTGGGCCTGGGCCCTCCTTTTTCTTCTCACATCCCCATCAACTGTGTCCTGACCCCACCTGAACGCTGGTGTTCGTGGAACCCGTATTCTGTCCTTACGTCTGCAGCGCCCTCCTCCTCCTCCCCAGCATCCCCATTCCACCCACTCTACTCTGGGCGTCACCTTCCTGAAGTTCTTTGTCACCCTCCCAGAGGTCTACCAGGCGGGGCTGGGGCTGCTCCTCCTGCCCATCACGTGTGCTGCTGCATCAGGGCTGCTGACAACATCTATCTCCTTAGAGCAGGACTGTAGCTCTCTGTTGCTGCTAAGAAATCCCCAGTACGGTCAAGGGTTACAATAGGGGCTGGGTGAACACAGTGCGTGAGTGAAGGATTTGGCCGGTGTGGCTGGTCCTATGGCAAAGGGAGGATGTTTGGGAAGGGTAACTTCCATGCAGTGGACCCCAATAGCACCAGCATTTCAGCCCTATGAAATTAACCAATCAACACACAGCAGAAAATCCTTTAAAACAGCTGATCTGCTACACCCCTGGGACACAGGGACTTGCTGCTCCTCCTCCTCCTCCTGCTGACTGTTTTTCAACAAACCCTTTTCCATGTCATGCTAAACTGCCCTTTCCACGACTTCCAGACACACTGGGTGCTGTGTGGTGTTTATGTTCTTACTGAAGAACTAGGCAGAAGTGGGTTCTCCAGAAAACCACCAAACACCACAGCAGCTTTCACAGAAAAGCTCCAGCCTTAGCCTAAGATTCTGTCCTGCCTCAGTCTCCCATGAGGTCCTTTGTCTGCATAAAATCTGGACCCAAACATCTGAGGCTGGGTTCTCTCCTGCAAGCAGTTGTCAAAGTAACTTGCCACCCAAACTAATTCACATGTGCACCCCACAGCCCGACCTGTCAAGCCATAAACATGCCCAGTCATCAATCCTACAGCTAAATGGGTCTCTAACCTTCTCTTCTCACTGGAAAAACTTAACCCAATCTCTAGAACATAGCTTGACCCTCCATCACGTGGTAATAGACCAAATACTGTGTTGTTTAATCCCCTCATTTTGTTGCATGATATTCCAGGCTGGGCTGGGCTGATCACTTAGGACCAGGTGTGTCACGACACCCACACTGTAAGTGCATTCTTACAGGGCCTGAAACGGGCTTCTTTTCTTCCAGAGTAACCTTCCGCCTGACTACCACATCAGCCTCATAGACATAGGGCTCGTGCTGGAATACCTCATGGGGGGAGCCTACCGCTGCAACTACACCCGGAAAAGTTTTCGGACCCTTTACAACAACTTGTTTGGACCTAAGAGGGTAGAGCTCAGTGCATAATCAGTGTTCTGTGGTTCTTGGAGTGACTGTGGTTCTCTGTTATGTTTCCCAAAATTTCAGCCTCCTAGAAGCCAAACTTTGCTCTGTTACCGCACAGACCTGTCTGGCCTTCTGACCTGAGTCCCTGGCTCTACAGATGCCCATCTTCATGTCCATTACTGCCGTGTCTCATCAATCGCATCTGCTCTCCATCTCTGTCCCCCACCTCCACTGTCTCTGCCCCTCCAGTCCGTCCTATTACCCTACCACTGTAGCTGCCTTTGTCTTTTAAAGCAGGGGGCAATGCTTAGGGGTCTCCACTGCCTGCACGACCACAGCCAAACTGATTAACAGAGCACCCTCTCTGCCATTCACCATATCACAGTAGACCATGTACCTTCGCCAGTATCAAACTGTGTTCCTGAGCCTTTCATAACTCCTCCCCCTAAGCATGCTCTCAAGATCCTGCTCTTAACAAGAGCACAGCCCAGATGTCAGATCTACTCTGACTCCTTCCCCTCATCCCCCACCCTGGAGCTCTGTGTTGGGACTGTTGCTAGGGAACTTCTCTGGTTCCACTTGCAACAAGGGTCATGTGACCCTGCAGTTTTCTCTTTAACTGACTTCAGCTGACAGAAACAGTTTCCATAACAGAGCAGTTCTCCTCTTGGATATTGTCATTTAATAGTGACACACACACACAAAAATAGTGACACAAAAGATTTTTAAATCAATTATTGTTTCCATAACTAAGAATTATACTAATATACTACTAATATTACTACTAGTAACAGTTATCTGAGTAACTTAATTTTCTTTTTTCTTTCATTTGCAGCCCAAAGCTCTTAAACTTCTAGGAATGGAAGTAAGTAGAACTCGTTTTCGATGGTGTTATGATATCTTGGCCAAATATATATATAAATATCCTTTGCTTTGTTAACACAAAATGAACAATTTGCTTTCCATGAATAAATCTACTATACAACTCACTAAAATCTACTTAGATTACTTAGCCAAATTGTATAAAAAGATCATATACATCTAAAAGAGTGAAAGGTATCAAATTCACTTGATAGAATCAGCAAACCAAAGCCAGGCACAGTGGTGCACTCCTATAATCCCAGCGCTTGGGAGGCTGAGGCAGGAGAATTGTTTGCAAGTTCAACATCAGCCTGAACTACAAAGTGAGTCTAAGGCCAGACTGAACTGCATAGTGAGATCCTGTCTCAGAAAGACAAAAAAAAAAAAAAAAAAAAAAAAAAAAAAAAAAAAGAATTAGCAAATCATAGTTACAAAAGCAAAGATTAAGCAATAGCAACAATAAAAGCTAGAAAATGCCATTTACATGTTCAAAAATCATAAATAATACCAAAATATTCAATAGAATATTTTAAAGTCCTAACAAGTAATTAGAGCTTTTCAAGAATGCAAATATAATTTAATATGAGTAAGTCTTCATTACATTAGTTCATATCCAAAGTCAGAGGAAAAAGATATTACATGACAATTTGTTGGTAGATACCAAAGAGGAATTTTTAAAAATGTAAATATATTTCTTAGTTTTAAAGATGATTTAGTTCACTAGAGGCAGAATGGTAAGACAAAGAGTAAATAAAGTAAAATACTTTTTTGATATAGTTTCTGCTTACAGCAAGAAAAAACATGATGAAGCAAGGCACGCGGATCAAAATCAAGCACGAGACAAGCGTGCCTATTCATTGCCCACAAAACCACTGTCTTAGTTACTTTCTCATTGCTGGCCTGCATAAATTAAGAGAGGACAGGTTTATTTTAGCTCGTGGTTGTAGAGGTTTCAGTCCAGTTGCTGGTTCAAAGGCAGCCACAAGAGGAACAGCCCATGGCACAGCAGGAAGGAAGCAGCAAGCCTTCCTCCCTTCCTTTTTTATTCTGCCCAGGTTCCAAACTGTTGTTTGGTGCCATCAACCCCCAGGGTCGCTCTTTTCCCTTCAGTAAGTCCCACCCGCACCCAGAAATATGCTAAACCAATCAGTATGGCACTCAGGATCCTGTCACTCCCCAAATCTCCATTTATGAGAACATGAGCCTTGGGGATGACAGAGATAAGCTATAACAATCATTATCTTTTTGTTTTGTTTTGTTTTTTGAGACAAAAATCTCTCTATGGGGGCTGGAGATTTAGCTCAGTGGCATAAGCGCCTGCCTTGCAAGCAGGCAGTCGTGAGTTCGATCCCTGGTACCGATAAAAAAGGAAAAAGACAACAAAAAAAAAATCTCTCTATGTAGTTCAGGCTGGCCTTGAACTGACTAGTTAGCCTGGACCAGGCTGGTCCCAACCTGTGGCCATCCTCCTGCCTAAGCCTCTGAAGAGCTGGGATTATCAGCATGCACCACGAGCCTGCCCAATACCGTTATTAGTCTTCAAAAGTGCTCTGAAAATTCTACCATGTGGGAAAAATAAATGCTGAAGAAAGATTACCCCAAAAGGGGAGAAAATGATGATCAACAAAAATTATTATTATGTATTCAGATACAGAAAGCCCAGGAGTCCAACTAATGTTCCTTCACAACAGAACAAAAGTATCAGAAATGCCCTTCATAGGAAATTTTAAGAGTAAAACACTGCACCTAAAATTATTTAAATAATTAAAAGAAATGCAATTAGCATAGACTTAAAGATTTATTATTGTAAAGATTCTTCTCAAATAAATTTGAGCAACCCAATCCCGTATGGCTTCAATATAGAAAACTTTGATTCTGTGTTCACAGTTAAGACTGATACCATTTCACCATGACATTGCTCTTCTGATCCTGTTAGCATTAGGATCATTCCATAATTTTTAGTGTCTCAAACTCTATGTCAAGTAGGGCTTAGCTGTTCATACTGACCTCTGTAATAGCCTGGTCCCAGCCCTGTTTTTTAGTTTATCTTTTATTACCTTTGTAAGAGCTATGATTTTGTTTTTCTATTTTCTAGAGCCAACTTAGCTAATTTATATTTTCTGAAGCTAAGTATATTTCCTCTAGACTTTCAGTTTCATTGGTATGAACCTTTATGAAGTACCCTCGTCTTTTCAATTTTCTCCCTAATTTTAGTTGTGTGCCATCTCTTGTTCTGATTTTTTAAATTTTTATGTCTTCTTTTTTTCTTACCCATAATTGCCTACATATTTTATTGGTGTTTTTGTTTTATCGAACAACTCCCTTTTTGTTTTATGTTATTAATGTCTGTTTTTATTTTTATTCATTCTTTCCATATACTTTCTCTAGAGTTACTATGGTCTTCCCTGTACACCAATAAATACTTAAAGACATGCATTTTCCCCTGGCAGTTATTTTAGTGGTATCCCACAGGTTTGGGTAAGTGGAACCTTCCCTGCCTTTCATCTCTAACAAGTTTATAATTTCCCGTTCAATTCAAGAACTATTTAGAAGTGCATGTGAAACTTTCCAGATGCAGGCTTCTGTTGTTCTGATGCTACTGTCATTAATTTCCGTTTATTCCTGGAATGTGGCCTACATGCTCTCTGCCATGTAGAAGTTGTTGAGCTAAAAAGTCCTATAAGTATAATGCCTGGCTGGTTTTTATGAGGCTCTGTGGGTACAATTCTGATGCTTATCCATCAGATACAACATGGGACTCTGCCCTTGTATTTGCTTCTCCACATAATGGTCTTTTCAAATCCATTTCTAAGTGAGCTTACTGTGATCATCACTATGTAGACTTCATCTCATGCTTCATATCCTTTGTTATTTTATTGAGTTGTTTTTTTTTTCCTTATTGATTTATGGCAGGCCTTTGCATTTTAGGGAAATCAAGTCCTTGTTATATTCTCTGTCTGGCCATTATTTTAAGAAAATTTGTATGCGATTAATATTTTAATAAGATTGTATGGTATTGAAAGGCAGATTTATGGAAATTCTGTTTTAAAACATTTTCTAGTCATCAGAGTACCCTGATCTCATTTCATACATTCTTAAAAATGAAGCTGTGTTCATTTTAAAAATTCCATCGTGTCCATTTTTAATCTGTATAGGTTGTCTTAGTTACTTTCTTCATTGCTGGGATAAAATACCCAACATTCACAACACAAAGGAGAGATTTGTTTTGGGTCTCAGTTTTAGAAGTTACAGGTCATTTTTGGTGGGCTCGGACACAGCAATTGCATGGCAGAAAGCAGGAGGGAAGGCCAGTCATGACATGTGCTGGGACCAAGAGGAAGAAGGAGGGGGAGCAGCCCAACAGGAGGGTGAGCCCCTCCAGGCCCACCACCAGGGCCCTTTCTCCGACCAGGCCCCTCCTCAACTGATTGACCCACGGATGTATATGGCACCCCATGATCCAGTCTCCTTCTCTAATTTACTGTTATTGTGGTTTTCTGTGACAAAATTTAAAACTCAGACCCAAAACACTTAAATCAAGACACTTGAACATTATCACAGCTCATTATGATATTAGAACAACTGGTTCACCCGCAAAGCACTTGTGATGGAAACCGGGGAGCCAACAGGGTCTCCCGCCTGTTGGAGCTGTGGGGATGCAGAAGAGTTACTCAGCCTTGGAGCCACCACTTCTTCATCTGAGGGATGGGAGGATTCACCTCCCAGAGTAGTTGGAAGAGTAGAAGCGTAAAGCACGGAGAGCTGACGGTACAGTTTGGGGACAGGGAGCTTGCTTACCATGCTTGGTTCTGGTCTCCACAACTACAGAAGAAAAAAATACTCAAAAAAGATTTTTTTAACAAATGAGATAATTAATGAGAAGGCTGTTTGCAAAATAGCAAAAGCAGTCATCTCTCAGTCTGCACGGGATTTGTTCCGGGATCTTTCAAGGAAGGCAAATCTGCACACTGAGGCCCCTTTTATAAACAGTGTCACATTTGCAGAAAGCCTGTGCACATTTCCCTGCACACTTTAAAACCTCTCAGATGACTTACGATACCCAGTACAATGTAAATACTACGTGAGCACCTACTATACTACAGTATTAGGGAAAAGGACAGGAAAAAAACACTTCAATATAGATATAATTGTCCTCTTATTTTCAATCTGAGCTTGGCTGAATCTGAAAAAGCAGAACCTGAAGGCACAAAGGATTGACTGTCTCTGTTTCTTTCATCACAGAGTATAACTCTTAGCCTGAAATAGCCTCAGCCCCACAGACTTCCCTGCCAAGTCCCCCAGTCGTGACCGCCCTTCTTACAGGTCCTGCTCCTTTTGCACTGCATGGGGAAGAGACGGTGCTTGTCCAGAGAGGAATGTTTGCTTTCTTAAAACCTTAGAGGGAAACCTGAAACATTTTCCGCTGTTCTCTTTTCCGTTTTTCCTGTTAACTTCTGGCTCAGCTACCTTGGTCAAACAAGTATTGGTGTTTTGCCACACTGGAAGGGTCCCTGAAGAAACAGACAGTGGATTTTACCTCTCCCTGTGGTGTTATTTACTTTTAATTTTTAGGAAGTCTCCTGTTTTAGTTTTGCTAAAGATGTCTTTTAAAAAAAAAATCCCCGCTAAGCCAGGATTATAGTTTACTCCAACAGAACCACGCCTTTTGAGTTCGTGTAGCTGTAGGTGGGTTGGCTGTGTAATCAGCACATATATCATTTCAGGATTAATAAGCTAAGTGGAAGCTAAGATGCTCCTAAGAGAGCTCTTCATTACCTCTGAGTGAGTTTTCCTCTCTTCAGTGGTGCCAGAACCCTTTTTTGCACGTTTAGGAAGAACTGTGTAGGAAAAGTGTGTTCTCCCCTCAGGACGATGAGCCTCCAGTCAAAGGGAAGAAAAAGAAAAAGAAGAAAAAGGAGGAAGAGGTTGACGTCGACGTGGATGACCCTGCGGTGAGCCGGTTCCAGTACCCCTTCCACGAGCTGATGGTGTGGGCTGTGCTGATGAAGCGCCAGAAAATGGCCGTCTTCCTGTGGCAGCGTGGGGAGGAGAGCATGGCCAAGGCCTTGGTGGCCTGCAAGCTCTACAAGGCCATGGCCCACGAGTCCTCTGAGAGCGAGCTGGTGGATGACATCTCCCAAGACCTGGACAATAATTCCAAGTTAGTGTCTGCAGGGACTCCAAGGCCAGTGTCACCACTGCTCAGGCCCGCACACTTGCTGTCCCCCTACACAAGGGAGACCATTTGTCTTGGCAAAAGGATCAAAGAGTTACACGCAGAGCTAACCCCAAGGAGATGCAGAGGCCCCTTCCCACCTCGGACCTCCATTGCCCCAGGATGAGGTGTGCGAGGGCCTTTTCTGGTAAGGAAGGCTGGAAATGCAGCCAGACTGCAGCCTCCTGATCTGCACAGGCTACCCACTCAGCTGAGCCGAGAGAGGAGGGGGTTGTAGTTTATTCCCTGGAAATGAGGAAGCTTGGAGAAGAAGGTGTTCTCTAATAGAAAAATAATTCTAACTTTCAAAGATCCATTTGGCCCTGGCAGTTACACCAGGAGAGCCTGTTGTCCTGAGCCTTGTCCCTTTGTGGGAAGGGGTGACTGTCGTGCTTCTTACTATTTCTGGTTGCCACTGTTTTGCTGTGCTGCCTTTTCATACCACAGTTCCCATGCAAGGACGAATTTCCCTAAAGAACATCTCACAAGTCATGCAGCGTCAGTGTACCTGTGCCTTGGGATGTGAATGTCATAGGGTTTCTCAGGCCTGTTTTTTGTTTGTTTTTTTTCTTTTCTTTCTTACCCCATTAGGTGAGACAGCATGGCTAATGGGGTTGGGTATGTCTCTTCTTCCCCTGCTGTCGGTTAGGCTTAATACAACCACAGCAGATTAGGCTCTGGTTGTTAACTAGTTTCTCAGGAGGGCAGACCTTGTTGAGAAGAGCAGAGTGCTAGGACACCTTTTAGAATAGTTTCTTTCACTCTTCCACTGCTAGAAGCCCAGGAATTTTTCTCCTCTATTCACGGTGACAACTTGGACAAGTTCCTAGACATGAAACTCACCAGAGCGCCTGTGGCCCTGGAATTTTTACCTTGCAGAACTTCACACTGAGTTTCTAGAAATGCATCACCAAAGCTCATGTTTCCTACTCCAGCCTTGGGCCTGCAGACATTCCTGCTTCAGTAAGTGGTGATCCTCTGTATCCTCCTGTCTGTCCTTCCAAATTTGGGGGCAGCAGCCTTCCCTGTGGTCACACTTCTCTGATGGAGCCAGGAAGAGATGCTGGTTTTTTCTCCTTGTTCAGATTTTGCTTGTTAGAAGGAACTGGCAGCTGCCAACTTCGTTACATTCCAGAGTGGAAATCTGAATTCCCAGCACAACTAAATGCACATAAAGGAGGCAAATACAGATAACTTTGCCAACATCTAACATCTCTGTCTGCTAAAACTTGCTGCTTTTATTTTGGATTCAGTGCATTCTAAAATTACTAGCCAACTTCTAAATGTTAGAAACTCGAGATTGTTTAAAAATGGAGACATGGTCTCCTACCCCATGGTTTTCAGATTCCCTCCCTTGCTTCCTAGTTATTCACGTGGTAACATGTCACCCTGCAGCCCAGGACATGGGACACGAGCTACTGCAGACAGTATGTCTCATCAGGGCACAGGGAAGGCCATTCCTCCACACCTGATTCTGCCTTCTCCATCCTTCATTATAGTGACAAAATCTGTAACAGAGGAGAGCAATCACGACATGTTCACATTCTAATAACATTCGTGAGAGAACATTAAAGGGATGGGACATGATTTTGGTGATCACTAAGTATTTGAAATAAATCTGATGTATGATGTCCAGTTTGTGTCATATTCCCCAGGACTCCTCCCACACACATGCACACTCCCCCAGTCCCTACCACTGTCCCTCCATCAGTAATTAGATGTCCTTGCTCTGGGCCTTATAATGCCTACATCTGCCTCTATAACAGTGCTGAGAACCTTGAGTTTTCTGCTGACCAGTGCATTATGGAGCTGCTACACACACACGGAGAAAGCACATATCCCATATGTTTCGATGACTGTTCACAAATGCAACACTGACACAATCAGCACCCATGGAAAGGAACAGAGTCCAGCTGGCACCCAAAAGTCCTCCTGGTATCCCTTTCAATGTTCTCCTTTCTCCCCCTCTCCCATCACTTCCAAGGTCAGCCCCTACTCTGCCTTCCAACTCCTCAGGTGCTGTTTCTGGACCTGCCTCGGTCCTCTGGTCTCTAGGTCCCCGGTGCCTAAAGGGAAGATGCAGAGTCAACCTATAGCTCTATTTGTAATCAGAGTATTTAGTTCCCAACCTCCTGAGCACCTCAATCCAGGGATCCAAGGGATTTGTCCCGTGGCTCCCCATGTCTCTGCAGAAACATCCGTCTTAAAAAGAGCTCATGGCCATTGTGGCTTTACCCTGATTCCACCTCTTTCCCTCCAGAGACTTTGGCCAGCTTGCCGTGGAGCTGTTAGATCAGTCCTACAAGCATGATGAGCAGATAGCCATGAAGCTACTGACCTATGAGCTGAAAAACTGGAGCAACTCCACCTGCCTCAAACTGGCAGTGGCAGCCAAACATCGGGACTTCATCGCTCACACGTGCAGCCAGATGCTACTAACGGACATGTGGATGGGAAGGCTTCGCATGAGGAAAAACCCTGGCCTGAAGGTACGTGCCACCCGCTATGAGGTGGGTAAAGACTGACAAGTGACTTCTACCAAACTCATCAAGTCGACACATTACAAAAATACTGAATAGAAAATCCATGAAATAAACAACCTATAAGGTGATTGGTTGCTTATGTGTTTGTTTATTGTGCTGGAGCTGGAACCCAAGACTTGGTCCATGCTAGGCAAGTACTTTACCACTGAGCTACACTCCAAGCTCCCCTTCAAAGTTTTAAATTGTGAACTAATCTGAGTCACATGATGAAATCTCACATGATTTCATTCCCTCCCACTCAAGATGTGAATCATCCCCTTGTCCAGCATATCCACACTGTATATGCTACCCTCCTGTTAGTCACTTAGCTGCCTTGGTTAATTCAAACAACTGCCACAGTAACACAGAACTGGTGTGCAAGTAATATTTATTTTACTTAAAAATGGCCTCATAAAACAAAAGTAGTAATGCAGAAGGAGCATCAGGGCATAAAAGTCTAGAAAATTAAATTAGCTCTGGTACTATGTGGCAATACAGCATGGCACATAGGAAAAAACAGTATATAGAAACCCAGTACTTGTCTGTGGTTTCAGAAATTGACTAAGGGTCTTGGAACATATCCCTCAAAGATAAAGAGAGATCACTGTATTCCTGAGCAACCCCATGAGGGAGATGCTATGATGATTCTTGTCTTATGGATGAGGAACCTGAAGCTTTGAGAGTAAGCTGCCTAGGTTCTTAGCTGGCCTGTATGAGACCAGGACCTGAACCAAAGGTGGTCAGTAATGCCAGAGCCCCTGGAACCAGCATACTTGGCTTACACCATGCCCTGTCCTAGTCCCTGTCTCCATCTGGAGCCTACTAATCTTGCATCCTGGACAGGTCACCTACCCACTGTTAAAGTGGGGACCCGAACTCTATCTCTATAGATTCCTTTATTTGCTGAAATTATTTAAAAATTTGAAGCTTTCATTACATGGGGCTTATGAGAGAACACAGAACTATGAAAAGGTTTGACAAACATATAGTGGGGAAAGATTCTATTTCAATCAAACCTTCTTTGCTGTTTATCACTGTCAACTACTAGGCTATCTTAAGAAAACATTCTATTCTACGAGTAAACAGCTGTCTAATGATAATTTTATGGGATTGTCATATGAATGAAGAAAAACCAGTATAGGTCGAGTCTCTATTATCTGAAATGCTTGAAGTGTTTCAGATATATTTTGGATTTTGAAATATTTGCATACACATAATATATGTCGGAGATGGAATCCAAATCTAAATATGAAATCTGCTTATGTTTCATATATACCTTGTATACATAGCCTGAAAATTGCATATATTTTTGGTTTACCTACATTTTAACTAAGACAAGTAACATAAAGTTAAATGTGGATTTTTTCACTTATGGTATCATGTCAGCACTCAAAAAGTTTTAGACTTTAGAGCATTTCAACCCTCAGATTTTTGAGTTAGGCATGCTCAATCTGTATAATGTTACCCTGTGTAGCATGGTCTGGTAAGTAGAACACACTCTACTTCTTAAAAATATAAGTGTTATGCCTAATTGTCTAATTCTGTAAGATACACTAAGCTGATATATAAGACCCTGAACAAGTAGTTTCAGAGCACCAAGAATAAAGAGATGCAAAAAGTTTTAAGAAAACGGTCACAGGACTGACGTCACACGTTTCACCAGTAATACCGAAACCTAGAAGGTAGCAATGCACTAAGGCCTTCTTGGTTCTGGCAGGAAACATTTGGAACCTTATTTAAGGGTGATGTGCATAGAACATATGCAAATTCTAAGGTATTTGCGGTTCTAGAGCAGTGGTGGCAAAACCACGGCACGCCTGTCGCAGGGTGCTATTTGCATCACTGAAAGCTCGTAAAGACCCACCATCACTGGTCTACAGCGGCCAGAATTTGGGATCCACAGGGGGATCTGGAACCAACCTCCTACAGGTACTAGGGGGCCACCAGACAGGAAAGTTTTCCTAGAATCACCACAGTTTAAACATTAGTTTATCTCTCATCATTCATAGGTTATCATGGGGATTCTTCTTCCACCCACTATTTTGTTTTTGGAATTTCGCACATATGATGATTTTTCATACCAAACATCAAAGGAAAATGAAGACGGCAAAGAAAAAGAAGACGAAAATACGGTCAGTGCTACCCCGATCCTGAGCATCACCTTGTTCTCATTTTCAGTATTCCTGAGATAGCAGTCTCTTACTGTGGGTTTGGAAATCTTACAGTGGGGAGTGTAGTGGAGTTAAATGCTGCTCTGTCTAAAGTGTGCTGGGGTGCTGCGTTTTCCACTTAGCAACATACATTGCCTGCCATACACTGTTCTCTGTTTTCCAGGATGCAAATGCAGATGCTAACTCAAGAAAGGGGGATGAGGAGAATGAGCACAAAAAGCAGAGAAGTATTCCCATTGGAACAAAGATCTGTGAATTCTATAATGCGCCCATTGTCAAGTTCTGGTTCTACACAGTAAGCCTTCCTCCTTCCCCTTTGCTGTGCAGAGGATCTTAAATGTTAGAATAAAAAAAAATTCAAAACCTTAAAAAATGCCCAAAACTCACTGAATTAAAATGAATTATGAAAAGAAAACTGGAATTCAGAAATATGGACACCCTGGTCCCAAATATATCATTTCATAAAGCAAAACCAGTTGCATTCTGTTTGCCTATGAGGAAAGATTTTTAAATGTCTTGAATAATACAAATTTAGGGAAATACAATTTGACTTTAAAATTAACACAAATAAATAGTAAATAAAGGGTGAACTCATAGACTCTGTTTTTCACTAAATCTGGAGTTATTAAAAGGATATAGCTTGTGTTGGTCAATTTCCTTCACTATAACAAATACCCAAGAAAATCAACTTACAAGAGAAAAAATTGATTCAGGTGCTCAGTTTGGGAGGTGCCAGTCCATGATCAATTGGCCTTGTTGCTTTTGGGGGCTACAGCAAAGCAGTAGACCACAGCCAGGTGCTGCACGTCTGAGCAGAACCACTCACCTCACAGCCAGGTGGTGAAAGAGAACAAGCAGGTGCTGAGCTCCACAATCGTCTTCGAGGGCACAGCACCAGGGACCTCACTGCCTCCCACTAGGTCTTCTTCTGAATGGTTCGCTACCTCCCAATAACACTGTGGACTGGGGAATAGATCTCTAACATAGGACCTTGTGGGTTAGATCAAAACTATAGTATGATCTATACTATATAACCCAGATCACAAACTCTTAGAATCAAGAGGCAAATCAAAATTTCTGTGCTCGGCGTGCTCCCCAAACTGAGCTGTGCAGCCGTACGCCTCTCTCCAGCCTCCTCTGGTGTCCAGGGCTCCACTATCTGAGAGTGTGGCTCACTGGTGACAAGAGCAGAAGAAGTAGGAGCAGATTGAAGTGTTTTAGCGGGAAACTGGTCCGGCTACAGGCAGCCCTAGCAGGGGCAGCCAAACACACAATACCTTAGCACCCGTGTCAGTAGGGAGAAGAAGGGATGATAGTTCTCATGAAGTCTGAGCTACAGCCCATGACTTGAAGTGATTGGGGAGAAGCAGGTGGTGATGTCGGGGGACTGGGTACAAGATAATGAATGGGCAAGAAATGAGGGTGGGCAGGGGGCAGTGAGTGCCTTCAAGGTCAGCTATTGCTCTTGGAAGTCACGTCTGATAATGCAGTTGAAGCCACTGCTGCCCACCTATTCTTGATTAGAGCCAGGCAAGGACCTGGAATGTGTGTAGCCTGCGGTAGTGCTCAGGCTGACGTTTCCAACAGGGTACAGTCCAGGGGCTGACAGCCCAATGCAGACTTCTCAACCTTCGGCCTCACCCAAACCCTCAGGATGCTCTCTGGGGATGTGGCAGAGGGCATCTCATATTTATAGTTGGCTGCGGATTCTAATGCAGCCCAAAGTTTGAGAGCTCTGGCACTAATCCTCCATCAAGGAACAGGTAGTTGACCAAGGAGTAGGGTTGCTTTCTGTCTCTGTAACAGAATGCTGTGTCTGGGTCATTTGAAACGGAAGAAGGCATTTTGGCTTACAGTTCTAGAGCTCCAAGACCATGTCACTGGCATGGAGAGGGTCTCACAGCAGTTCATCTCACAATGTTAACCAGAAGGGAAAGCAGGCCCCTGTGGTAGAGGAGGAGAGGACAAAGGAGCTGATCTGCTTTCTACCTACTCGCCATTGACAGAACCAGCGCCTTCCCTAATTGGCTGATCCAGTTGGGCCAGAGAGAGGAAGAGCTCACTCTCCCCTGAGAGATGGTGTTAATCTATGTACCAGGGCTCCTCCCCCACGCTCTACCCCTTCTCAACAGCATCACCTTGGGAATCGAACTCCCATTTTAGCAGAGTAAACCACACCCTGCCTTACCAAGGCAGGGAGATACAAAGGGTTTTACCTGTACCCTGCCAGGGAAGAACCCCAAAGCTGAAGTTTTCACAGCTGCATGGACAGCTGACCAAGGACAAGCTGCTTCAGATAGCCTCCCTGCACCCCATTTCTCTGTCCCATCCACTCACCCAGCTATTTCCTTTCCTGCTAAAAAGTCAGAGTGTCTCGTGCCCAATGAATATCACTCTCGTCAACCCTCAGTCTCATATCTTGCTAGCCTCTAACTGCCTCAAACCTGCCTGCAGTTTCTCTGCACGAGCCAGTCCATTTGGAAATAAAAACTCATTTTAAAGGACGATCGACTTGAAAATAACTAAGGGAGCTCAGGGGACTCTCGGGCAGCTCCTTTGGCTGAGCAGAGGCTTCATTCACATGTGATTTCTTCCAGCTTCTCCTACCACCCATCAGTAGCAGAGATTCCAGAGGGGGATTTGTAAATAACATTTTCCAGCTTCCAAGAATGTAGAAGACAAGGCAACAAACTATTAAAAATTGTCCCCAAGGTATAAGTAATTTTTATAAAACAAAATAATAGTAAGCAACAGGGAGTTAGAGTTTTTATAAATGTGAAGGAGAGCCAGAGGCAGAGGAAGGGGAAACAAAAAATTAAGATATGTTAAGTACATACACCTACTCCTTAAAATAAACAGTATGTATGACAACGTGCACTAATAATTTTTCTTTTTTTTTTTTTTTGTCTTTTTCCTTTTTATTGGTACCAGGGATCGAACTCACGACTGCCTGCTTGCAAGGCAGGTGCTTACGCCGCTGAGCTAAACCCCCAGCCACTAATAATTTTTCAAACGTTTCCCTGTGTAATAATCATAACGAATCACAAGCATACACTAACAAAATTTTTTAAATACATAAAAATTTCCCTGCGTTTCATAAGTCTTGCAACTTTATCATTTCGCCCATGAGGATAATAGCACAACAAATACATTTTCACCTAGAAAATGGAACGTCAGATCCTGTATCCTCTGAACATATAAAATATCTGTAGTCTGCCTGGAGGTTTTCCACGTAAGTCAATCCAATTGGAAATAAAACTTCATTTCAAAGGACACATGGACCTGAAAATAGTTTCAAAAACCTGGTTAGAAGGTTGTTTCTCCAAGACACAGCTCACGGCTGGTCTTTCTTCCAGATATCATACCTGGGCTACCTCCTGCTATTTAACTACGTCATCCTGGTGCGGATGGACGGCTGGCCCTCTCCCCAGGAGTGGATCGTCATCTCCTACATTGTGAGCCTGGCGCTGGAGAAGATACGCGAGGTGATTACTGTAGAGGCTTGTCCCTGCCCCACTAACCTCTCCAGATTGCACTGCCAAAGTATTTGACACAAATGATAGTGCCATGGTGCTTGTCATCTGAAGCGTCACCATCCTGTTTATTCTGGTCTCTGGTCTCTGATGTACATGCCTTCTCTTTCCAACTAAATTTGAACTTAAAAATCAAAGCAAAATAAATGACATGTGATAAGTAAAAGTAGGCTGAGTCCATCTAAAAGTATCTTCACATGCTGCTAGCTACCTGAAATAAACCAGTTACTCCAACTGGGTACAATTTTACCTGTTTTCTGGAATCTGAAACTAAAAACAGAGACCACTGGAGAGTACATTTTTGCTGTAACTTGGAACTTCCGCTCACACCGTGCACTTATGTGCTGCATGCTTAGATTCTTGTGCAAAAGCTGTATGGCAAGAGGGTTCTGAGTGATAGAAAACAAAGGACCCAGAGCAGCTGGTTCAGTTAGAATCTGTTTGTGACCTCACCCTAGGGAGATCTGAGTGGATTGAGCACTCAGAAACTGCCCCACTTTGACAGAAAGGAGTGGAGTTTGGGACTTGTATCAGTTGTTTGGTACCCACCAGAGGGATAGGTCCAACTTCCCGGGCGGGGGGCAGATGTGGGCTTAGCAGCAGCACCCAGAGAAACGGAGTGCACATGCAACCCTGGTGAGCAGCTCAGGGGACCCAGTCAGGGCCCAGAACATCTGGTGCAAATGAGCATTTCAACTAAGCCAAACCAGCCACTGTCATATGTGTGTGTCACAGAGGTTCTCATATTTAAATAGAATTCTAGGAAGGTCGTTTCTGTAGGTGCCTGAGCAAATAGGTACTTCTCTTTCCAATGTCATCAACAAGTTTGAATTCTTTCTGTTAACTTATAAAGAGAATGTTTGCATCCAAGCAAAACACATATGTGAAGTGAAAAAAAATGCAGCCAGCTTTCCTAACCTTTCTCCAATGATACAGAATCAATATTGTCATTTTGCAATTACTATTCACCCTTTCACTGAAGTGAAAAATGAGAAACTGTTGACGGGTGGAAAGAGTTTGATGCCATCTGTTTAATGCAAGCCTGGCAGGATGCTGAATTCAAAGCTGTACAATTCATCTTTTTCTACGACTACCTTCCTTTCCGGCTAGGTTCCACTCAAATTCTGAGGATGCTACACCTGGAAATTCTCAGGTGGTCTGCTTTACTGTAGCTAGTGCCATCATGCATATGCTGAGCAAAACCTTTACCCCAGAAGTGTGCCCTCTAGTTATGAGACAGAGCAGACATCACCAGTATGCGTAGCTTATTAAGCTAGTAAAACTCCCTGTGTTGCCAGATAGGCAGCCACTGTCCCATCAAACCTGGTGTCCTGGGTTCTACTCCCAGTCTCCAGGACTAAAGATCTCCACCAGGCACAGAAGCCCCTCACCCGCCATGAAGTGTCACTTCTGCGCTCACCAGTTGGGCTCTGTGGTAACTGGGGCATGCTGCTTGCTGAAATACTTTCCATACTCTGCAGAAGTCTCTTCTTAATCAGTCACAATTTTGAAAGAATATCTCAACTAATGAAAAATCTGGTTCAACCTTCCAAACTTCTCTTGTTTAAATTGCAAAGAAATTTTGGCAAACCAACATTTCCTAGCCCAGTTGTGATGTCTCTAACCGCTAGGTTACCCCACTGGACCACCTATGATTCATAGGAAGACTCTAGCGTTTACTCCTGTACATGTCTAGAATGTGAGCCAACAGGCATGGGTCCAATAATTAGAAAAGCAATCCAAAGGGCAGCTGCTTTAATTACAGCCAGAAGCAGACAATTTGGAAGGCATTTCCTGATAGTTTATGGAACCCCGGATCTAAGAACAGAGGCTTCTGTGGAATTTCCCTTTCTAGATATCTCAATGCTTATGAACACTGGTGTTCGGAGGTTTTGAGCAGGAAACAGATTGGATGTCCTGGAATGTTTCACAAGTCTTGTCTTACTGGAATTTACGAAGACAAAGCTTCTAATAGAACACTCTCGGTTTATTGTTCTTTGGGGTTTGTTTTCAGATCCTCATGTCAGAACCAGGCAAACTCAGCCAAAAAATAAAAGTTTGGCTTCAGGAGTATTGGAACATCACTGACCTCGTGGCCATTTCCATGTTCATGATCGGAGCCATCCTGCGCCTACAGAACCAGCCGTACATGGGCTACGGCCGGGTCATCTACTGTGTGGACATCATCCTCTGGTACATTCGTGTCTTGGATATCTTTGGTGTCAACAAGTACCTGGGACCCTATGTGATGATGATTGGAAAGATGGTGAGTATGATTCTCCGTGAGGAACCAGAAACACCTTAGCCGTGGCTAACATGCCTGAGCAGGTGCTCAGTACGGTCCCTTCAGTTTATTTGGGTTTTCTTTTGCAGCTGGTTTCTTACAGGAACTGTTCTTAGAGGCATATTTTTCTTGCACATTGATAACAATAAAATCTAATAGGAAAACATGGGCTGAGGGCCTGCTATGAATACACATATCTCCCTACAAATATTAATGTGCATTTCAATATATGCCATCATTATTTGATACCATATTTCAACTGTAGAATGACTATTTAATTTCATTTTTAAGTTCCTTATGATTTATTTCTAATGAGTGTGTTTTGACGGTAAAGTAAAATATCTTCAACTTTTATAAGAGCTTCACCTTCACCTTCTTAGAACATAAAAGAACAGCGGTTTTTTGATTCAACAGAATTTAGTGGCAAAATAAAATATGTCAAAATATTTACTCTCCATTTTGGTGATGAGAAAGATATTTTTAGCATTCTTTGGTATAGGTATCTAGGTTTTATATTCTACAAGGTTTCATCTACTTCAGCATATTTTATGGAAAAAATTCTACACTGTAGAAGCCAGAAATAAAGCAGGCCAAGGGCCATTCGGTCACCTGTACTCCACTCAGTGGCTCACGGTCTCTGGCCTGGAGCAGACAGGTGCTTCTGATGATTAGGCCACGGTAAACCCAGGATGACAATTACTCCCGAACAGGCCATTGAGTATGAAACTCACATGAACCAACCAATCATCCTAAAATAACCCCCGCATCAGGACTGGTTCCAAAACTACCCAACTAATTAAACAAATAAACAAATAAGCCTTGTAAGTTTGGAAATAACTCTTTATAGGGCAAGTAATTTTGAGCTAGGGAAAAAATATGATTTAGTTAATTCCAGTAAAGGCATTTATGCTCAGGAATGTTCAAAATTATAAATTCCAGCAGTTTAATATCCGCAGTAACCAGAATACTGTTCGTTGTAACCACTGAGCATTTGCATAATAGATGAAGGTTGGCGTACCCTCCCAGTTCATTACCCTTTTATCTTCTTAGTGTGTCCTCTTCCCAATCTTTATCTTCCCTCAAAAATTTCCATCTTTTCTCATAATTCTACCCAACTGGTGATTGTAGTTACGAGAACAACATCTGTTTATAGCCTGGTTGTTTTTTTTTTTGTTTTGTTTTGTTTTGTTTTTGTCACTACAACAAGATACAAGTTATAAAAGGTTTGCTGGGAGCAGTGGCACAGGCCTACAATTCCAGCTACTTGGGAGACTGAAACAGAAGGATCCCAAGTTCAAGGCCAGCCCAGCCAACTTAGTGAAACTCTGTCTCAAAATAAAATAGAGGACTGAGACTATAGCTCAGTGGAAAACATTTGCCTCGCAGCATGCACAAAGCCCTCGGCTCCGTCCCCAGTATCACAGAGGTGATGATGGTGAGAAGGGAAGAAGAGAAACATTTCCTTGTCCTCACTAAATCAGGAATCGTGACACCTTTAATGAGCCCATATGAATTTAGCCTCCCAGTAAAGGCGGTAAGAGGTCTCTGATCTCCCCACTCAGATGATTGACATGCTGTACTTCGTGGTCATCATGCTGGTTGTGCTGATGAGTTTCGGAGTAGCCCGTCAGGCCATTTTGCACCCAGAGGAGAAGCCTTCCTGGAAACTGGCACGAAACATCTTCTACATGCCCTACTGGATGATCTACGGAGAGGTGTTTGCAGACCAGATAGACCGTAAGAATAGAATTCATAGTAAGATTCTCTTCCCTGCTTCTGAGGCAGATGATCAGTTCCAAATTAATGGAAGAGCATGGATTAATTTGGAAATAAAGGAGTCTTCACTCTCCAATAGGCATCAAATTACTTTGTGGAGAAATAAGTATAGAATATGGAATGTAGATTTTGAGACATCAGTCATTTCTTTTACCCTAAAAGCCATTCATTGGAGTTCTGAGTCTCACTTTCCTTAAGCCAGTCTTGGTGAATATATTGTAAGGCTGATATTCTAGTTTTTCTCCATTATGTTTTTATTCTAGGAAAAAAAAAACAGTAGAATAAGACAATGCAAACAGGGTAACTCCTGTGTCCTATCATCTTCTTCTGGCCTTCAAAGCCTATTTCCCACCTAGCTGTCCATTTCTTCTTCGATGCTGGTGCTATTTCGCAGTATTATATTTTTTAAAATAACACATAATCATTGAAAATATTTATGGTGCCCAACAGGATGACTTGAAAAATATACACAATGGTACCACTTTTTTATTGCGAGCGATAGTCTGATGTAAGGGAAGGAAAGGAGGCGCAGTGCTGTCTGGCTTTCTGGGGAGCCTCACCCCTAGTTCTCCTGCTGTCTAAGCTGGTGAGTCACAGCGTCTCCTGTGTCACAGAGATGTGAAAGCCAAATGTTTTTATACTCATCTCACCAGGGCAGTTACGGCTCACTAGAGAACATGGTGCTTCTGTCCATTTTCACATCAGTACCCGTATTTCCTTTTGTATGATGTGTTTTATCCTGAAGCATCAGGTATGGCAGCGTATGTGCTGCTTTCAGAGTTCTGAGGTTTGGGAACAAAAGATTTGAACATCTGCCTCCCTTAGGAATCACAAGGTTGGTCAGTATTTCTAGGAGGTTAGACTGGTAACAACTCCACACATTACATTCCTTCTAGCTTTCATATCATGACTCTTGATACATTATTTTTATAAGCATCACACAGCCAACTATTAGATGTGTTTGTAGGTTGGTAAATAGACTGTAAAAACTTAATTTGATTTCCAGTGTGGAGAGTTCTCAAAAAACTAGAATTAGAGATTCCATGTCACCCTGCTATTCCCCTTCTGGATATCTTCCCAGAAGAATTATGTCATCATATTGCAGTGATATATGTGTACTCATGTTTCTAGAAGCACAACTTATAATAGCAAAATCTTGTAAATAACCCAAATGTCCAACAACAGAAGAATGGATAAAAGAGATGGTATTTTTATACAATGGAGTACTACTCAGCTATAAAGAATGTGAACTTGAGACGTTTATAGGTAAATGGATGCAACTTGAGACCATACTCTTAAAGGAAATAAATCAGACTCACATGTGTAAACATCATATTGTCTTCCTGGTGTGAGAAACTGAAAGAGTAAATCAGTTCTAAAACGTACAATAGATGTTGCAAATGGGAAGAAATTGTTCAAAAGGAAAAGTTAAGGTGGGTGAAAATGGAAAGGTCAGTAGGAAAAAGGAGAAAATGCAACCCAGTTATACTATTCGTGTCTCTTAGTTCATTAAAAAGAAAAGTTTGTGCTAAAATCGATTGGTGGAACTTTAATACTCATATCTTGTACCTTAAGCAATATTTTAAAGGTAACAATATAAAGATTTTAAGGATTACAATGTAAACTGAGCATATGGGTGCATGCCTGTAATCCCAGCACTAGGGAGACTGAGGCAGGAGGATCATTGTGAGTTCAAGACCAGTGTGGACTACAAAGTGGGCCCAAAGCCAGCCTGAACCGCATCGTGAGACCCTGTCTCAAAAAATATATATATTAACAATTGTTATTCTCTTATTACTTTGTTATGAAATTTTGTTTTACCTTTTTTCCATAAATTTTTTTAAAAACTTAATTTGATTTGAGTATATTAGCCTAATATATATATATATATATATATATATATATATATAGAGAGAGAGAGAGAGAGAGAGAGAGAGAGAGATTTCTTTAAGAGTCCCTGAACTCCAGATATATTTTTGTTGTTGTCTTTTTAAAATTAAATCGGATGAGAGAAGATAAAAAGGTAACCTTAAAACCATAATATGTTCAGTGACACCATTAAATGTCAGAATTGAAAATTGTTGACCTATTACGTAAGGATTTTGTACCTATTTGTGTTGATGGGGTGTTTGTGCTGGCATACCCAGAATGCTTGATTTATTAGCCTGTAAGTTAAAATGATCATCTGCCAGTAACATCAAATCTTTTCCACAGTATTTTTAACTAAAGACCTTTCCTGTTGCTTATGACATATGGCAAAATAAGTACTCATGAAATACTTTTCCAAGGACTAATAAGCAATACGTATAATTCTTCTAAACAGAGCTTTGTTTCTGAGTGTGAATCTGTGAATCCAAAGCTGAAGCTTTTATATTTCTCAACAGTGAAATAGTCCTTATGTTGTTAATCCATTTGTTTGACTTTTCTCTCAACCATCATCTCTTTTCCTTCCCTCCTCTCCCATCACAACTAAAAAACCAAACAAAATTCCTGCTTTCCAATCACTGTGCAGTGTACGCCATGGAAATTAATCGTAAGTTGAATGGAATTAATTCTTTTAGATCATAATGTGTTTATTAAGTAGACTTTTCTTTAGTTGCACACTGAAAGTGTTATGCTGTTTTATACTTCTTTAAACTGCAAGCAGAAAATAAAAAGACTATAAATTTAACATTGCATACTTTTTTCCTTTGGGAAATAGATCTCCTGTGATCAAAGTGGCATTTCAGTGAGCACAGGGAGAAGGTTATTTTTCCAACAGAGACCCAGGACAGTTGATCTGACAGAGTAGTGCGGATTTCAGAACCGCACTTCAGAACAAAATTATTTTCAAATTTAATGTACAAATGTCACCAAAGTAGCAACCAGAAGACAACACAAGCTAATGCTGAATAACTAAAAATCGCAACTTTCTCGTGGCTAACCATCTGGTGAGACACCATAAAGGCAGGTTTCTGTTTAATCATTAAGAGCGTTTATGTGAGAAAAACGTTAAAGAAATGGGAAAATGTGTGCCAGTATGGCAAAGTAAGAAAGACTGAGTGTAGACAGAAGGATCTTAAAAACCATCTTTTTGTAAGAACTGATGCTCTTCATCATATTAAAAATATTAATAATGGCTAGTTATCCTCTCATTATCAAAGGAAGCACAAAAAGGCAGGTTTTTCTTTCAGCCCCTTGTGGCGAAAACCTCTATGACGAGGAAGGCAAGCGGCTCCCGCCCTGCATCCCTGGCGCCTGGCTCACGCCTGCTCTCATGGCCTGCTATCTGCTCGTAGCCAACATCCTGCTGGTCAACCTGCTGATTGCTGTATTCAAGTAGGTGTCACGGTGGACGATCGTGCGGTCATTACTCACAGTGTCACAGGTTTCCGGTTTAACCTCAGAAACCTCTCATCCACCACATCTGTGAGGAGACGTTCCCCAAGGCTTTTAAATGGATAGAATTTTTGCGTCTTTTTTATGCAACCTTAATCATCCCTAATATATTTATAAATCAGAAGTTGACACTGAAATACAGTTAAACCTAATCATGGTTAATATTTTAATAGTACAGCTGCATTTCACTCTAGTGAAAATATTTTTGTTCAGAGTCTGTTAAGGCAAAAAACTTTTGTTTTTCATTCATTATTAGAGATACAGAAAGCAACATTAATGTCACACCCTGTCACTATGACTGTAACATTATATGAAATATCTTTTTTATTTATAACATATGAAAGAAAATGGCCGGGGGGAAATCGCTTAAATTATTAAATCAAATTTCTAATAAAAATTGCCAATTTGTATGATGTGATTATGTTGATCATGCTTAATAAATGTTGAAAAAATTAGCTTCTAAGTATGAGGGAAAAATATTTTTCATAGCAATATGAAAATGTTAGCATTGAACAGGCCATTAGAGAGAACCTGGTTCCAGCTCCTTGCTGAAAGATAAGAAAACCAAAGTTTCTATACGATAACTGGCTTTCCTAAGACCCAGTGTTTGCAGTTATGCAGTCCTCTATTTACTGCCTCTTGTTGGCAAAAACAAGGCAGATCATACCTACCTCATATCCAAAATAACACCTCCTCAATCAGGAAGTTCAATAATTAATCAGTTCCATTATAAAAAGTAGTCATTTAGTTGTTTGACCGAGTTGAAATTCTAAACACTTACAAATGCTTAGTTGAATGACACACACATTTATATATACAATATAAAATCTCCCAGGAAATGAGTCAATAGATTATGGTGTAGTTTCTTAAGAAAGCAGTGTCTATCAATTTACTATTCCTAGCTCTTAATTATTTATATGAATAAAATGTCACTGAGCATGGATAATACACATTGGCAGATAAACAAATCCCCCAAAAATCAGGTAACCAAGGAGTCAGTATCAATTGGTCTAAAAGCCATTTCGTGATGTCAAATATCATTGTAATTGGAGTACTCTAGGAAATCACAATTAAAAAATACTGTAACTAACTGTGGACATGTTTTCTTTTTAAAGCAATACCTTCTTTGAAGTAAAATCAATATCCAACCAAGTGTGGAAGTTCCAGCGGTATCAACTGATTATGACATTCCATGACAGGCCTGTTCTGCCCCCTCCGATGATCATTTTAAGCCATATCTATATAATCATTATGCGTCTCAGTGGTCGCTGCAGGACAAAAAGAGAAGGGGACCAAGAAGAACGGGATCGTGGCTTGAGTAGGTTCAAAATTCTCCTATTTGGGGCTAATTTTAAAATCAGTGTTCCAATTGGATACCTTCATGTAAACATTACTAAGCTATTTATGTGAAAAATTCAGCCCTCCAATGGCTATGCTTTTTGGAATGCTTCTTACTTTCTATGGATCCTATTTTAGCTTTGCCCCCTTTATCAGTAATTAATAGTGCTGAAATCCAGCTCGTGGAGTTCAGAAGTGGAGGGGGTTAATATTCCTCACATATGCATGTTTATAAAAATCCAAAGCTCCTTTCAAAATGTTTTATAAAATGTGTGCAAAAGAGTCTCCAGAAAATACTGTTTGATTTCACTTTCGCTTAGAGAGTTGATTGCTGCATCTGACAGCTTTTTTTTTGGGGGGGGTGGATATTAACTGAATGGAGTAATCAAAAAGCCATCCACAAGTGGTGAAAGGACCTTGGCTGAAATCTGGTTGTGAAATTCCCAGTGATGTAACTAAAGGGATCCTCCAAAGATCTGTGTTCACGCGCAGACACTTGTCTCCCTCCACAGAGCTGTTCCTCAGCGAAGAGGAGCTGAAGAGGCTGCACGAGTTCGAGGAGCAGTGCGTGCAGGAGTACTTCCGAGAGAAGGAGGACGAGCAGCAGTCGTCCAGCGACGAGCGCATCAGGGTCACTTGTGAGAGGTGCGCCCTGCAAGGCCCGGTCGGAGGGTCTGGGGACCCCGCAATCCGCTCCAAGGGGGATGCCTGTTAGAGCGTTCTGGAGCAATAGAGAAGCAGAAAGTACAAAACGAACAGGTTTATGGACGACGTGGAAAGAAGCAAACAACCCATGGTGGTTGGGCTGTCTCCCTCAACCAGACACAGAGAGGCGGAGGGTTGTATGACCTCTGATTGGAAGTGGTGCATGGGGCGGATATTGATGAGCAGTGAGGAGCTGATTGGAATTCTCTGTGCATGCACACAGGAAGGGGAGGTGCAGTTACGGCTGAGGCAGAAGCAGGAGGTGGTAGGCATCCCGCTTGGGCCTTCTGCCACGTTAGACCACCGCCATAACCGGACAGTAACTTATACTAGGGCAGGAACCTTTCAGTGCCAAAGTGCCCTCCAGCATCACTCAGATGGCTCATGTGCATTCAGGCGTGAAGTTTTAACTACTGTTTTCCCCATATAGTGTGCAAATTCCTAGGTGATAAATACTATTGCGGGTAGAAAGGAGAAACATTATCAGTAATATTCCCACCCCCTCCAAAAAACTCCGACAATTCTTGCCCATTCTTACCCCCTCCCTAGGTGGGGGCCTTACCTAAATGTCCTGCATTAATGAGAGAGGACAATCAGCTGCAGAAAGCCATCTTTTCCCCACATAGTGCTTCTGCCCTTTGCCAAGCAAGGTCTGAGCTCCCTCCCGGCCAGGCCCTTGCTGCACCTCTTTCCACCTCACAGCGCAGAGGTAAACGCTTCAGGGAGAGACCCAGGAAGGGGAGTAACGGGATGGGCGTCCATCTTCTGCAAAGTGGAAGTCTCTAAATTAGGGTGGGAGCTGCCTTTCAGACACTGTTACATTCTCGATATCTAGCAAAATCAGTATAATTCACACAAGCACCCTTAATCACGATGAACACATGAATCACTGGATATTTCTATAAAGGAATTCAGGCCAGGAGGGAGGACACAGTGGTGTTTCCTGAGCTATGATTTTGCCTTACCATGAGCTAAGAAAGAGTAACTTGTAAAGGGTAGACAAGAAGTCTTCACTATCTGCATTTTTTTTTAAATCATGATTTTTGAAGAGCCTTTATTACTTTACAAAAGCAATGAGTATTTGCTAAAGATTTAAATAATGGATAATTCATTGTTCGAAAGACTTTACCAATATGGTAAAAGAATGATCAGGGAGGATGAATGCTTAAGAGGATTGTAGGCCATCTTTACATCCTCAAACACTCACCATTAAAGCTTTCTTAATACAGATGCATGTGTATAATGAGAAACATAAGCCAAGGTAGGACTTTGAAAAGGTATTTAAGCAAGAGGTCACCAATCAAGAACCCCAACCATTGCAACAGACCTCATAGACACACCTTGAAGTGTTCTCTGAGCATGTCCAGGCCCTTGGCTCTGCCCCAACACACAGGAAGGGAAATGTTGCTGGAAGGTGGCCCCTCTCCCCTCCTAGTCCCAGTCACCTTATAATTCAACCAGGCCCGACCAGCCACAAATATTTAGTATCGATACTCCATTCTCCTAAGGTGTAAGTTTATAATAAAACATTTACTTGACTTCTAATAGTAATTGCAACACTTTTAAAATATACAAGTTGTTTCTTCCTAAGATAAGCTGTGCCACACAGGCTATGCCATCTAAAATTTCTGCTGCTTGGTTGGGCCTTAACTTGAATGTAATCACAGCCAGTCATTTACAATGGAAATTGCCTTTTGTTTTGCTCTTGTGCACACCACCACCTCCCTTCCCCTAGCATTGTTTGGATTCTTACCATTCTTGGACCGAGGTTTCAACAATATGGCTATCAGGTCACTACCGAATTGCATTTTTCTCCTGGGGTTGTGTGCCCACGTAACAGGAATGAAAGTGTACGAGGCAATAAAAACATGCTGCTTCCTGTTTTCCTTGGCTGCGATCCCCAGGAGTAATGGGATCGCATTCCTGTCCTTCCACTTCCCCTTGTTGACCTTGTGTGAGGCTGACTCACAGGTGAACACAGAAGACAGAGAGAAGGGGTCTGGGGAGCTGTCCTCCCCCTCAGCCAGGCCAGCCAGGGAGAAAGGGCTAATGGGGAAGAATGGAACAAAAACTAGCTGTTTGCACCTAAACTTGGGCACCTGTTACTACTTTTAAAATCAGACTTTTGAATATTCCGACTTTTCTGTTAATTCTTTCATCTTTGTTCTATACTGAATGCGTTTTTTCTGTCTCGGCATCGCCTGTTGGTGATTTTCTGCTCTCTTCTTGATGGGGCACCTGCACCGTTAGACGACAAGGTCTGCTTAGGATCACGAGTCCCTTCCTTGACTTCCTGTGGTCCGGGTTACTTTCAGAGCCAGTGATTCTCATGACTCAGTCTTACCAACGTGTTCACACAGGACATTTACAAATCAAGAAGAGTCATGCTCCTCCATAGAGGGTTCATGGAATCCTTTTGTGCAGAGCTAAATCCATGGGTTTCTCCTAATGTTTAAAATGGCACAGAAAATTCTAACAACTGCATCAGTTACTTTTATCGTACATTGTGAACATTTTGTAAGCCTTAACCTTTTATCCCTCAAGAGATTTGCAGTATGGCTAAGTGTTAACACAACACAGAGGAGCAGCAGAGTATTCAACCCACAGCCCCACCCAGCATTCCCACCTGGACCTGCTGGGGCACTCTCCTCTCACTTCTCTCCATCTTGGACATCTTGCTGTGTGCTCTGGGCTCTGTAAATGGTCTCACCTTTCAGCTAGGTCAGCAAGACAGAGAGTGGCAAATAATTATGGCAACTCTTTATTCCTCACTGTCAGTCATCAACCTTTGTTCCTTTTCCCTTTCAGAGAAATCATGCCCACTCTACCACCTTCCCATCTCCATCACCACCTGGTAAACTGGACCAAGCTTCCATCATACAGGACCTCCATTCCCACAGTTACCCTCCAGGGAGCCCTCTAAATTTATCCTCCGCCAATCCAGGTGGCAGTGGATAGTCTCTAATCCAGCTCCGGGCCCCTGTTCACTGCACGCAGGTTTCCAAATCTATGCCATCTCTCTAGTCTTAACTCTGGCCCATCTTCTTCCTCTAGCTCTGCACTCCATCCCCTCATCTACTCTTACTTCCTTAAAGCACCATGTCCTGCCTGCAACAGGGGCTTTGCACGTGCTGCTCTCTGTCTGATAACCTCTCCTTCCTGTGAGGCTCATCGTTTGGGTCTCTGCTCAGATGTCAGGTTAATGGAAAACACCTGTGACTCCCTCATAACTTAGACTGGGTCAAAACTTAGACTCTTGAGCCCTAAGTTTCATGAAGAGTGGCACTGTGTCTGGGTATCGTCCACCACAATATTCCCAGACTCTTTATATCTTCCTGTAGCAAGAATGAGATTTTTTTTTTGAATGAAGGAATGACTCGAGATTTGTCTTCTGATTCAAATGCAAATTTCTATCCCGTCTTCAGATAGTTCCCTCAAATATTATCTGAAAGCAGCAATAAATTGTGTTCTTTCTGGGTTCAAAACATTGGTTTCCCTGTTAGGAACAAGAAGTAATCTCAAGATGCAAATAATTGTGCTACCCATAATAATCCCAAAAAATGCTTAACATCAGCAACACCAGAACACGGGTAGGTGTTGGCAATGCCTCAAAGGGAGATCACTAGGCAGCCAAGGTGGGCAGGGAGAGAACATCTGATAGAGGACCTCAGCCGCCTGACCGTGGCAGAGCTTGTCAATCTGAATCTTCCATCTGCATTGCACCTGATGAATAACTGAAAATAATTTATTTATATCAATCACAGCTTCAGGGCCCTCTCTGAAAATCCACCAAACACATTGTTCGTTTTGTGTTTCAGTATCCCTTACACTGGTGCAAGAGCAATCAGGTTGGAAAGAATCTTTCCTGATTTTGTTGGACATTTAATTTTTCTTTTCTTTCCTTTTTTTTTTTTTTGCATGTGTGTGCCAGGGGTGAACTCACAACCTCGCACTAGCCAAGCAGGCGCTTATGCCACTGAGCTAAATCCCTGGCTAACTCTTGTTCTTAAATAATGAGAATTATGTCTTTTCTCTTAATTAAGCTTGTTGGTATTATAGGCATAGGTAATGATTACATTCATTCAGGAAATTTATACTTGTGCAGAATATAACTTGAGTCTTTTTTTCCAACCCTCCCTTCAACTCCTCCTCTTTCCCTATTTACAAAAGCTTTGTTTCCATTTTTTCTTCTTTTCTTATTATGTTTTTTCCTGTTCCCTTCTTTCTTTTCCCCCTTCCTTCCCTACATCACTTTCCATTTTGACATTTTCAGCCTATTTAGCAATATTTGTTATACATTTTTGTCTTTCTGTTTCTTATACCAGAGAAACAATGCAGTATTTACTCATTTTGTCCAGTTTATGTCACTTAAGAGCATGACCTCAAGGTGGCATTTAGGTAGAAATGGCTCAAGCTTATCCTTCTTCATGCAGAGTGGTACCCACTCCACTGTATTAGAAAAATACATGTGCTTTATCCATTCACCAGTTGATGGGCATTTTAGTTGTTCCCAAGATCTGGCTATTACAAACTGTGCTGCTAGAAATATGGGCGCACATATATCACCGTGGTATGATGCTTTTGATTCTTTCAGGAAGATACCAAGAAGAGGAATAGCTAGGTTGAATGGATGGTCCTAGTTTTTGAAGAATCTCCACACTGATTTCCATGACGGTTGCACCAGTCTACACTCCACAAACAGTGGAGAAAGGTTCCTTTTTCTCCACAGCCATGGCAGTATTTGTTATTTCTTGATGTCTTGATAACAGTCATTCTTTCTGGGTGAGATGGAATTTCAGTACTGTTTTAATTTGCAGAGAATTATTCTTCAGTGTGTTTTCCTTTTTTCATGGCTTCAAGCAAGCGTGGCACCAAAATTAATGTTTGATTATAGTAAAAATATTAGTCTAGATTTTTAGAACATGTGTTGTATATTCTTCCACATTGCTTTTTATTATCTTTTGCCTCTATTTACATAATTATTATTATGCCTGATATTTCAAAGTACATAGGATACAAACTGTGCATTATATATTTTTAATGCACTTAAGGAATTGTGGCCATTAGATCAGCCAAGTGTGTAACAGCAGGTTCTATGCACCGAACCTTCCTGAGATTCTGTGTGTGTGTCCGACTTGTATACCTAGGTTAACATTTTAGATTTCCAGTAGGCTTCAGTTCATGGGTTTGAGATTTTAGTTGACAGCCTCCTCCCATAAGTAGGAATAGAAGACACTGATAATAGAGGCCCTAAGAAGAAGAACAAGATAGTAATTAGAATAGGAAGTGGAAGAGAGATCACTGTTAGAAAGTGGATAATATCTCTGATACAAGGAAAGACAGCGTGGAGTCGCGGTAGAGACATGAGCGGAAGGCTCCAGCTAAACGCTTTCATCTTCCACAGTCACAGGAGTCACGGCTGCTTGAAAGATGAGAATGGAACGGGATGAAGAACTGAACATTTAACAGCTCTGTGAATGATACTCTTCTTGTTCCTCATCTCACTTGGAGAACCACTTCAGAGATAGATGCAGACATCATGCAGATAGGAATTTTTAAAAACCATCTTAATTAATAACAAAAGCTGCGGTAGAGACTGTGGCTCAGGTCATCAGGTCACATCACTGAGTCATGGGCAGCATTGTCACTGCAGCCGTGCTCCCCAAAGGGGTCAGCTTCCCCACTAAACTTACTGCACGACCCTGACAATGTGGTCGCCGTGGTCTCGGCAGCAGCCAAACTTCAAAGAGAAAAAGACGAGCATGTTGGGGGCCTGGCCCCTGAACTCCAAAAGAATAAACAGTCCTCTTCAAGGGAAATAAAGGGGGCTGGGGATGTAGCTCAGTGGCATAGCGCCTGCCTGGCAAGTGCAAGGTCCTGAGTTTGAGGTCCAGTACAAGAAGAAGAAGTAGGAGAAGGAGGAGGAGGAGAAGGAGGAGAAGGAAAAGAAAATAAGGAGGAGAAGGAGGAGAAGAGGAGGAGGAAGAGGAGAAGGAGAAGGGGAAGAAGAGGAAGAAAAGTACAGCAAGTTTACTTTTAAAGTAAATCTACCAAGAAGAGCATAACCAAGGGACTGTTTGGCAGGAATACTGACCCCACTGCAACTAGGCAATATGACTTTGTATTGGGCCATGCCACTGTGGCTCCCAGGGCCATCAACAGTGACACCCTACAGTTCAAAGGCAAGGACTAAAAAGGAGCCCCATATGAGGCAGGGAGAGGAAAAGGCCTGTGCTCCTAACGCCAGGTCAGTGGAGAGATCGCAAAGGTGCCCACGCTTTCAGACAGCGGCAGAAACACATCGCACTGCTCCCAGGCATCATTTACCCTTGCCAGCTCTGGAGTTCTGGGAGCCATGTGCTTCAGGCTTAGGGACCGGCACTATTAGGTTGGAAGTAAGGGAGAGAGAGCATAGGATTCTATTAAAGCCTTTGCTCAGTGGCTGATCATAGAAGCTTCCCTGAATGGAACACAAACATTGCCAGAAAAAGCCAATGATTTAGATTTTCAGTTCTAGAAACCCAGGAAACCTGGGGTCTCGCCATGTGTGGGTGTGTATAAATGACGCAGCATAGAGCTATAATCCCAGACAGTTTAATATTCTTTCAGCCACTATTCAGTGTGTTTACTGCAAAGAATGAGAAAGTCAGAAGATTTAAGACTTGAATTTTGTTGTTCCATTATTAGTCTTTGTTCAGTCTTTCACGTGTAAAAACTTTGTAAGTCAGCACAAGTTTCTATCCTGGGTGTTCCCCCTGTAATTACTGCACGACCCTGACAATTTAAAAGGCAGCCTGTGTAAGGAAGTAAATGGAAATTAAAATAGCTAGATGTCAAATTCAAAGTGGATTAGACAACTTTATGATCTGGAATGAAATTACAGGGTAGGAACAGTCTTAGAACTTGTGGAATACCGTTGGATCTTGAAACATGGGTTTCTTCCTGCATGAACTGGACCCAGCTCTAGTAACATCATGTTTTCATGTGAACATTTAACTCTATCATTAAGGAAATGTTCTCATATAATTTATGAGATGCCTTGCAGGTGAAAGGTGATTGTTGCACACAAAAAGATGGTTTCACATAAAGCAAGGTTTAATAACTGGCTTAGGACAGACTTCCACATATCTAAGTCCCATCCTTATGAAGGATGGAGCTTTCTTACCATGAAAGCATAAGTTTTTACCTTGCATTTAATAACTGAGAGTCTCTACAAAGCCCAGGCAATCTCTTATTAGTTACTAGAAAAGTGGCACACATAGTACACATAGTCCATGTTGCTGTGTCTATTATTATTTCAATTACATGAAAAGTGTTATTTGTAGTTCTTCTAATGGAAAATGTATTTTTGTTAAGCTAGTTTAAGGTTTAGAGACATCATACCCCTAGTATGTATGTCAAAATGTATAGATTTGTAATGATATATTATTTCACACAGTTGTGTCATTTGATGATGGCATCACATTTACTTATACAATTTCAATTAATTTTTATGCTGTACTGCAAGTATGATTATCATTGTTTGTAAAGGACACATGGTGACATACATGTGACAAAGAGAAACTGCAAGAGTAACTCCATCTTTAACTAGAGAATAGGCCCATCTCACAGGAAACCTGTAGTTGACAACACGCTTAATCAGAAACAGGTTTGATTTTTCCTTCAGATAAAAACAACCAGACAAAAAAGTCAAGGTACCTGACGTCCATTTTTAATATGGTACCATTATCTTACACATCCTTAATTTTATTTGTGGGGATCATTTTTTATTTTATGGAAAAAATAAGACAAAAGTTCATAACAAAATAACAGGAGAACAGCAATCGTTAATATCTCGCATATTGTTATCTTCAAAGTACTTACTTAGAGCACAAGAGAGATGCATAAAAATTCTCCAGACAATATTAGCACAAACCTTTCTTTTTAATGAACTAAGAGAAAGCAGCAATATAACCATCTTCTGTTTTTTCACTTTTTCCTTCCTTCCATTTCTCCTTCCCCTGCCTAGTTCCTCTTTCCTTTTGAACAATTTCTTCCCATCCACTCTATCTGTTGTATTTGGTCTGTATTTACTCTTTCAGTTCCTCATACCAGGAGACAATGCAGTGTTTACACATGTAAGTCTGATTTATTTCACTTATGAATATGGTCTCAGGTTGCATCCATTCATGTATAAATGTCTCAAGTCATTACAATTGAGCAGTACTCCATTGTATAAAAGACCATATCTTTTTATCCGTTCCTCAGCTGATAGGCATTTGGGCTGTTTCTGAGATATAGCTGTTAGAAACCAGCTGCTATAAACATGAACATACGTACAGCACTGTGGTACGATGTTGTTAATTCTCCCAAGAAGATACCCAGAAGGGGAATAGCTGGGTCAAGTGGAACCTCTATTCCTAGTTTTTAAGAAATTCTTGCACTGATTTCCACAGTGGTTTCATTCCCCCCAACAGTAGAGAAGAGTTCCTTTCTCCCACAGCCCTATCAGCATTTGTTATTGGTCATTTTCTTGATGACAGCCATTCTTTCCAGGGAGAGATGAAATCTCAGTGTTATTTCAATTTGAATCTCTTGAATGATTAAATATGTCTTTCACATATTTATTTGCTGTTTGTATTTCTCCATCTGAGAAGTACATATTCACTTCAGATGTCCATTCTTGGAATGGATCTTTGAAGTTTGGAGAGTCTGATTTTTTTTCAGTTCTTTATATGTTCTAGATATTAGTCCTTTGTCCAAGGGACAACTGGCTAAAATTTTTTCCCATTGTATGGGTTGTCTTTTCACTCTGTTGGTGATTTCTTTTACTGTTACATGTTCGTAGTTTAAGAAATACACACACACACACACACACACACACACACACACACACACACACACAGTTTGAAACCGATGAGGGCATTAGAGAGTATCTTTCTAACAGAGAAGCCCAAAGACCACCTCTACAAGTCTCTGAACCCAAGAGAGAAATCTAAAGGAGTTAGGGGACACAGCGATTATTAATCAAGACTGTTGAATGAAATAAATGGGGCTCCATGCTCCTTTCTAGGAGTCCACTGGAAGCAGTTAAGGGCAGGGCAAAGAGTGCCATAAATCAAGTGGACTTTGAAATTGTACTCCAAGACAGGGAATGATTAACATGGGCCCAAATAGCTTATGGATTCTGTTTGTTTATAGTTGCCTTCCACCTAAAAGACTGGTGAAGGCCAGCACTCAGTGACTGTTCTGCAGCCCTGCCAGCGGGAAGTCATGCATCTGGGCTTTAGAGAATGGTCTCCGTGCCCTGCTCTAAAGTATTCTTGAATGGAAGGGTTTTTTTTTTTTTTTTTTTCTGTGAAATAAGTGCTTCCTAGCTTGTGAAATGGAAAACTAACGGAAGGTCAGGTGTGGTGGTGCGACCTGTAGCCCCGGCACTTGGGAGGCTGAGGTAGGAGGACCATGGAGAGTTTAAGGTCAACCTAAACTACATAGTGAGATCCTGTCTCCCAAAAAAAAAGTAGGAAAAGAAAGAGAAAACCAGTGGAGCTATCTCATGTGATCTACAAGGAAAGTCAAATACAAAAATGGGTACAGAAACCATTGGAGGAAAGTGGCCAGCTGTAGATCTAATAAGAAATCAGTGTTGCCATATATAAGAAAGCATACTTTGCATGTCAAAAGTACTAATCACCCAAAAATTCTGTCCTTTTAACTGAATACTGGCCTCCCTAGAAAAATGGTTATGAGTTATGTGACCAAGTGATTTGAAGTAACAGAAAGTATTAGCATATTTTGTAAAATAAATATTTCAAGATGTCGAAACCCATGTAGTAAAGTATGTTAGTGTGATATCTACAGCCAAAATAGCAACACTTTTTATGTGCAATGGCAGACATCCCTGACATCACCCAAACCTCTTTCACCTGGCTCTTAACAAATGTCAAAGGCAGTTGCAAGTTCTGCAGCAGGTTTTCTCAAACAGGGCTCATCAGATCTGTAGTGTTTGGGGTGCTCAAGTTCTAACAATTTTATTTTTTCACCTCACTGATAATGGTATGTTTGTGATGGTATTTGAGCAAATTTAGGAATGAAAAACAAGATGAGGCAAGAAGAAAGAAAGGGGCCAGGAGCAGTGGTGGACACCTACAATTCTAGCATTTGTGAGGCTGAGGCAGGACAAGCACCAAGAACCGTAGGCCAACCTGGCATACATGAAAAGCTCTGTAGATAAGGAACAGAAATCTTTATAGGGAGAGGTTAAGGTTTGCTGTGCAATTGGAAGAAAAGACCAGAAGCTGCATTTACATTGCATTTGACATAAAATGAGAAAGTGTCAAATGTCATATCCAGAATAGAACTACTGATGGAGATGACAAGGTTTCTCCTTAACGAGGTTTCCTTGGTACCCAACACTGCAGTGAAATTTGGCTGGTATCTTAGGTGTAATGGGAAGCAGGCAGGGTTTTTAATCAAGGATTTACATGATCATGTGTCTTGGAGTGCAGTGAAAAGACACTGGAAGCACAAAGATTATTCATAGTAAGTAATTTTTTTGCCCTACTAACTTGGGGGGCACAAAATGAGGTCATATATCCTGAACACTAAACGAAATGGTTCTTTGATCACATCTGTTTATTCTAAGAGTAGCTTTTTTCATCTTCATATTATTCTGCCACCTTAGACATCCTGATGAGAAGCAGACATCAACCAGCCTCTAACGTACACTCATACGCGCACGCACACACACACACTTCGGGGTGAGCGCTAGAGTCCATGACTTCATGGCATTATGAAGCACAATAACTGAAATGGGAAATTCACTAGAGAGGTTCAGTAGCAGATTTGAGCAGGCAGACTAAAGAATCAGCACATCTGAAGATAAATCAATTAATGAATATATAAATATGGTACAGCTATATGCTGTCTACAGAAACTTACTTCAGATTTTTTTTTTAAAAAAACAACAGTTCATATTTTTTTAAGACAGAGTCTCACTATGTAGCTCAGGCTGGCTTCAAACTCACTGTGATCCTCCTGCCTCAGCTTCCCAAATGCTGGGATTACAGTTGTGTGCCACTATGCTTGGGTTTAAAAAAATAGTTTGAAAGGAAGAAGATGTAAAAATATACTCCACATAAACAATAACCAAAAGAGAGTTAGAATGGTTATACTGATATACAAGTAAGTACTCTTTAAGACAATTACCGTAATAGAGACAAAAAGGGACATTATACAGTGATAAAGGGTCAGTCTCCTCAGAAGATATGACGGTTATAACTATCTATGTACCTGATTGTAGTCTTGTGATATATAAAGCAAACGCTGGCAGAATTTAAGGGAGAAATAGACACTCTACAATACTCACTGGATACTTCACTTCACTAGGCAGAAGATCATCAAGGAAATAGAAGACTCACACACTCCTACAAGCCAGCCTAACCTAGCAGACACCATATGAACACTGCACTCGACAACAGCAATACAGCTTCCTGTCAGGCGTATGCAGCATTTTCCAAGACACAACATACTACAGGCCACCAAACAAGTCTTGACAAGTTTTAAAAAAACTGAAGGTACTTGAAATCATGAGTGTGTGACAATCTACTCCTAACTAATCAGAGTATCAAAGAAGAATCACAAGAGAAATTAGAAAATACTTCTAGGTGACGGAAATGAAAATACAAAACACCAAGATTTATGAAATACAGCAAACACATTATTCAAGAGGACACACATAACTATAATGGTCTGCATCTAAAAAGAAGGAACATCTCAAAGGCATTGCAAGCCAATAAATAGACCACTGCCGAGGGCCCAGACTGACCACTGCTTGTACACATACAGGCTCAACTCTAAAGCAATGCAAAGTCGTTGAACACAGTAGTGAAATCAGAATTACAGCTCACATGAAAGCATTTTGGAAACTCAGATTAAGCCCAACCAGTTTGATCATCCACCTGTCAAAAAAAAAAAAAAATAACAAAGACTCCAGGACTGAGCCTCTAACTTTGAAGATTTGGTCACATGATATATTAAAAACATCGGCATAGAATTTCAAAATTACTTGGAATATGAAGAACTCAGAAAATTTCAACTCAACCCTGGGAAAGAGACTCAAAAATTGTCAGTGCCAAGATAACATTTGTTAACATAATCTGACAAAGGCTTTAAACTATAAATTATAAAAAGAATGCTTGTTGGGTATGGTGGATCATGTCCACCATGCTAGCACTTGGGAGGCTGAGGCAGGAGGACTGCTGTGCTTGGAGGTCAGCCTGGGCTACATTGTGAGTTTAAAGCCAGCTTGGACTATATAGCAAAATCATGTCTGAAAATAAAATAAATAAATAAATAAACAAACAAACAAACAGAGATTCTGAGAGTAATGGAAAGGTAGAATGTTTCAGAAAAAAATAGAAGATAGGAAGAACCTAAGAAGCTACGTGGTATTAATGAAAGGTTTGATGCATAAAAAAACCATACATAATAAATAAAGAGTCCAAGGATAGCGACAAAGCTCAGAGGTGCAGCACCTGCCTGGCAAGTGCGAGGTCCTGAGTTCAATTCCTGGTGCCAAAAATAAATAAACAAAAGTAAAGAGTCCAGAGCCAGATTTTTCAAAGAGAACTAATTGATTTTCCCCTACAAGTGCAAAAGTAACTCAATGAACAAAAGATTGTCTTTTTAACAAGTAGTGTTTGACACTGTCATGCAGAAAATGGATCTAATCATAAACAAAAATAGATTTAAATAATCATAAGTTCAAATAAAACACACAAAACTATAGCAATTTCTTATGATGTTAAGCATACATTTGCCAGATGACCCAATAATCCCAGGTATTAACATCTACCTATTTACCTTAAAGAAATGAAATTTTATATCCACACAAAACATATACTGTCCATGAAGGTTCTTAGCAAATCTTTTCACAGTTCCAAAAACAGAAACAATTAAAATGTGCTTTAGCAGGTACTACGCTTGGTTCATTCACACTAGAAACATTTCATTCGTTAAGAAGGAATTAATTTTAATTTTAAAAATAAGCAAATCACTTGGATCTAAAACACCTTTGTATTCTGTGTGACGGAAAAACATCTCACTCTGTGCTGACAGGGAAGCTGAAGACTTAGAGAGCCAAACAGATTAACGCATTTGCTGATCAATCATATCTCACTATCAGCTCCGTCATAAACAGCGGGCTTCCCCGGGTTTTCCTGGCATTCAGTGTGTAAACAGATGTGCCTCTGCGGCCAGGCTGATTCCTAGGCAGCCTGTCTTTCTCCTTGCGAAGTGGAAACCACTCCTCGTATAGGTCAGTGTTCGTGAAACGCTTTCAGCAACTGTGAGAACATGGCTATTGCATCTCTCCTTTTTGTTAATCATTTTGGAGATGGTTGAATTCAAACACTTTTTTTCTCCTTTCTAACTTCACACAATCTATGAGAACACCTGGAACAGTGGCCTCATGGTCCCAGGTACTTGGGAGGCTAAGGTAGGAGGAGGTAGGAGGAGGCCTGGCCCAGGGGGAAATTTCGTGAAATTCCATTTGAAAAACACTTCCCTCCCCGCCTCTGTCATAAAAACTCAATGCAACTTCCCTTGATGTAGCTGTTTAAAATGTGATGTCTCCACACAGAAACTGCTTACAAGGTCTAAGTGAGCATTTGATGATTTTCCTTACCCTAATCCACAGTATAGAACAGTTTTCTCCCACAGCTACAGTGAAGGGAGTGACCCTAGAGGTGGCTGATTTGAGATAAAAAGAAGAGATTTCTCAAAGAACTTGGAAACCAAAAGCAGGAGGGAGGAAAGGTTTGGGAAGTGCAGGCAGAGAGCAGGCAGAGACCAAAGAATTCCACGACTTCAAAGCTTCCCTTTTAAGTATGAGTGGCTAGCAATGCTGTTATCAGAAAAAGTAGTAAAGGAAAAAATAGGCAAAATTACAGAGAACTGGAGAAGAGAGATAATTATCTTTATTTACTATTTTATTTATTTTTAAAAGTTTGCATGGCTACATGGTCTCATACTTTAGGGTTTGTTGAAGGATTTCAAGTTTGATGGTTATAGAGGCAATACGGTTTTAATATAAAAGGAAGCAAGAAGCATAATAGATTTGAAAGGCTCAAAAGTCATTAGACTTAACAGAGAACACCAAGTCTTATACAAAACTAATGGAAAGTTTCAGCGAGAACTTTCTCCATGGATCCCTGACATGAAAGAGGAGAGAGAATCCTCGGAGCCTGCATACATACAGGTCAGTGATGAGAAAGTTTACAAGAAAGAAGCCAGGTCTGCTCCCTATGATGCATTTGGTCCTCTTTCGTGGCAAACTTCCAGGAAGCCAGTCCCTTCCTGCTCAAATGATGTGGCACCCTAAACCCATAAAAATAATTTGCTCCCCAGAAAAGAGTGAAGAATAGAAGCCAGGACCCTGCCACACATCAGAGTGCAGCTGTCAACGCGACCAACAGAACAGCAGCGTTGGCAAAAGCAGCTCTGGGAGAAGCAGCCAGGCTGCTGCAGAGGTGGCAGGGAAGGTGCAGTGTGCTGGAGATGGGCTCAGGCACGGAACAGAGCTTTGCAACGCGAAGGCAGAGCAGCAGTCCCCGTGCAGACAATCAGAAAGGGGCTGGCGGGTCAGAAGGAAAGAACGCAGAGCCCGAGACGGATTCTAAGGCTCTGCAGTGAGGGCAGCAAACACCTCCTACAAACAGACGGCCATTCAAGCCCAGGAACTGTACAGACGCCACATCTTCAAGACAGGTGGGGGAAATCAAAGCATTAGAGCGTGAGGCTGAGGTGTTTGCTCTCATGTGGCG